CCGAAAATACATTTGATAGAAACATGAATGATAGAAAACACAATTGATAGCAAAAATATTTGATAGAAAATACACTTGATAGAAAATTCAACGGGGCTACGCTCAAGTTATGTCAGTTCGTTTGTGAAGATATGATTCTTCCTCATATATTTGAGAAGAAGGAGCTAGAAGTTTGTGGTATCAATAAATTCATAAGCTTCCATTTCGATCTAGCTCCTTCTTCTCAAATATATGGAGAAGGATCATAATATCTTCACAAACGTACTGACCTAACTTGAGCGTAGCCCCGTTGAATTTTCCATCAAATGCTGTTCCTATCAAGGGTTTTTTCTATCAAATATTTTTCCTATCAATTGTATTTTCTATCATTCATGTTTCTATCAAATGTATTTTCTATCATAAAACATTCGATCAAATGCATTTCTATCAAAAACACTTTTGATCAAAAGACTTCTATCAAATGTTTTTCTATCATTTGTCTTTTCTATTATTCATGTTTCTATCGAATGTATTTTCGGTGAAAAGTTCTTACTATTTTTTGAGAAAAGAAAACCGCTTCAATTTCTGTTTCCAATATCAATGAATCTTCCTGTATTTTTTCAATTTCAGAATCCTGCTACAAGTGCTACCGGGTGTGTATTCGGAATTTGATAACTTGTTCAAAAATTTCAACGAGATTTATTAATTCACTTTGGCAATATAATTTTTTTTCAGTGATCGAAAATCCTTTATTTTCATAATTTTTTGCATATTTTATATTCGACTGATTTGAGTGGCAGCATCACCATCCCAAGCAATATATCTACGAGACGCTTTATTTTTTTTTAGTGTAAAGTATACTCATGGAAATGTTTTTGCTTTAATTTCTAAAATGCAGTTCATGCCAGTGATATATCTAGGATTAATTTTATATCCAATACAGATGATAGTAATCATTTTCATAGAAAACCGCACTCACCTCATAGGAAAATACAAAACGAGATGGGTGGAAAAAATGGTGTTTGCACCGATGCTCAACTGGAATACAAAACTCGAATTCAGTTCATTTTCAATTTCCATTTTACTCTGGAATGATGAACAGTGCTAACACCATTTTTTGTACCCATCTTGAATTTTGAACAAGATTGGTTTAGATTAGGATTTCTGTCCAAAAATACTAAAATATGAACGTTACGTGATACCGAGGCGTTTAAACTCCCTATTCTTGATTATTTTCATGTCTAAAAACTTCTGACAAGACGATTGACATTTATACAGGGTGATTCAGGTTTTGAGGCACAAACTGTAATGGGAGATAGATTTCATCATTTCAGTCGGATAAGTTCACATAAACATTAGTCCGATCTCGTCCAGAAGCAGAGCTACAGGGGGTCAAAGTTCAATAATTTTGTTCTATCAATTGAAATATCTCGCTTACTTCTCGAGATTTCATTCTGAAATTTGATGTGGTCAATATTTCCTAGAAGATCATCATTCCAAGCTATTTGGAGATGTTCAAAATCTACAGGGTGATAGGTTTTTGTTGGTAGAGGCTTCTTTATCCCCTCCAAACTTTTTCGTCGTACGCCTCTGGCATCTTTCACTGATCAAATTTTGTGGATCGTTCAATTTAGAGGCTATTTTGCTTCCTAATTCTTTTCGAGAAAACGATCCGTTTTTGAGATAAATGAGTATGTACGTTTTAAGACATGTTGATTTTGCCTAAGTTCCGCTTGAATTTTATTCTTTTGACAAAATTAGTAAGATTGGACACTAGTCCAATCTGGATAAGTTACGGGAATACGGAGGGTAGAAAGTCGAGGTTTTTTTTTCAGTTAAATGAAATTTAAGCGAAACATAGGCAAAATTAACATGTTTCAGATCGTATATGCTCAATTATCTCAAAAACAGTTCGTTTCTCGAAAAAAATTGAAGGACAAAAAAGCCTCTAAATTGAACGATCCACACAATTTGATCACAAGAAGATGCCAGAGGCGTGATACGAAAAAGTTTGTGGGGATAAAGAAGCGTCTACCTCCAAAACCGTACCACCCTGTAGATTTTGAAACTCTCAAAATGCTAGAAATGATGATCTTCTAGGAAGTATTGACCACACCAAATGTCAAAATGATATCTTGAAAAGTAAGCGAGATATTTCAATTAATAGGAAAGAATAATTAAACTTTGACCCCCTGTAGCTCCGCTACTGAACGAGATCGAACTGATGTATATATGAATTTTTCTGATTGAAATGATGAGATCTACCTCCCATCTCAGTTTGTGCTCTGAAACCTGAATCACCCTGTAGAAGTATGATCGATTTTTTTGCGTCATCTAAAAATAAGTGAATTTATTTCAATTTGTATATCACGTACTCACTCTGTATTTGAATATTATGGGTTGGATTGGAAAAATTTAAGAAAATGGAGCAAGTACAGGGGCTGTTCCGTATAAACCATACAATAGACGTATTTATGACATTGACAATGACATTGATCTAAAAATTTGTATACAGGGGATATCGATTGAGTCATTTTCAAGATGGCGTCAGTTCCGGTTGAACCGGAAGTGACATAAACTTCGCTTTTTAAAATGGAACACCCTGTATAATATTGCATTTTCATATTCTCCCTGAAGACATTTTCCGAAAGCAATGTATTCGGACTTTCTTCATAATTTAGCTTTGTCTTTAAGCTTGTATACATACAGGGTGAGTTGCCTCATTTATAAGCATTCAAGCCTTTTTTCTTAATGGTTCTTCTACGTTCGTTTAGCAAATGTGATTTATTTTAGTAATTTTGGACTCTCATGACATAAAAATTTTCAGTTTCACGAGTTTATATTAAAAACAGAGACACCATATAGGTGCCAGAATTCTATTCTTTATAAATAAAAAACAATCGTAATTTATCCCAAAGGAGGTAACGGAAAAGAACGTGAACCAAATGATTTTTTTCGTGATCTCCATAATATAATATAAGACTTAGGTGAATAAATAAGGATAGAATATAGAAATATCTATGTCTGATTTATACTGTGTTATTTTTACATTATAATTTCTAATTTGTGATGTCATCATGGTTCAGCCAATAATTTTTTTTGCTGCTGTACCATTTGGTCGCAATCACGGAATTTTAGGACTGTATCGAAGATTTGTTTTAGTTGTTAGAATTTCGTGTACCATACGTTCATTCAAGAGTGTTCTGAGTTTCGATTACTGATCCTTAGTATTTTTTCGCAGCTATTTTTTCTCGGTTTTCATGAATTACTTAGCTTTATTCCTGTAAAGTATATTATGTGTAAAGTGCCATCTATAATATATTTTTCTAGTTACATAGAACGCTTATGTCTTGTGACTTAGACACTGTATACAGTATTCAGCCGTAAATATACAAGTATTATATATGAGAACATGTTTTTCTTTTGTTGAAACAACATACAGTGTGTCCCACTTACCATGCTCACCATGGGTATCTTTTTAACGGTGAGAGATACGAGGTCGGTTAAATGACACCAAATGTGGAGTTTGTCAAGGCCAACTATAATGTGAAAAAATATTTTGATAAAATCTATTCGTTTTTGTTTTATACGCAAAAAACAGATTTTGATCATTTTCGTGTCTCCTCCGTAACTTCTTTATTTATGAAAATATTCAAATAGGAATTTCACATTCTCATGGCAGTTTTTCAAAGTGATTTCGAAAAAAATATGAAATTTATACCAACTCTTCTAGAATTTGAGATATCAGCACCAACTTCAGTTTTTCAAATAAAGGTCATAGCTCACTATGACCTAGTTACAAATAGCTTTTTTTTGTCTTACAGATGATGTGTCGCAGTAATAATTTTGTGTTGATAACAACGGAGTTATCGTCATTCATACAAAAACAAAAAATTATTTGGAAGCCGTCATCTTGAATTTATAGATTTTAACAAAAAAATCATAATCTCCGACTTCAAAACCCCCCACTTACCAATTTTAAATGGAATCGGACCAAATCTTGTCCGCCATCTTGGAGCAGCCATTTTTTTTAATTTCAACAAAAATTCCATAACTCCGATTAACTTGAAATTTGGCAGGTGTTAATAATTTCGGTGACAATACATTATGAAATTTTTGTTGAAATTAAAAAAAATGGCTGCTCCAAGATGGCGGACAAGATTTGGTCCGATTCCATTCAAAATTGATAAGTGGGAGTTTTTGAGGTCGGAGATCAAGATTTTTTTGTTAAAATTTATAAATTCAAGATGGCGGCTCCAGAATAATTTTTTGTTTTTGTATAAATGACGATGACTCAGTTGTTATCAACACAAAACTATTACTGCGACATATCATCTGTAAGAGAAAAAAAGTTATTTGTAACTAAGTCATAGTGAGCTATGACCTACATTTGAAAAACTGAAGTTGGTGCTGATATCTCAAATTCTAGAAGATTTGGTATAAATTTCATATTTTTTTCGAAATCACTTTGAAATCTGTCATGAGAATGTGAAATTCTTATTTGAATATTGTCATAAATGAAGAAGTTACGGAGGAGACATGAAAATGATCAAAATCTGTTTTTTGCATATAAAACAAAAACGAATAGATTTTATCAAAATATTTTTTCACATTATAGTTGGCCTTGACAAACTCCACATTTGGTGTCATTTAAGCGACCTCGTATCTCTCACCGTTAAAAAGATACCCATGGTGAGCATGGTAAGTGGGACACACTGTATAAGTACCGCATGTTTCACTATGAACGCCCCCACCTGTTTCCTATTTCAATGGTAAAATTTGAATAGGAAAACTAACAACGTATTCGTGTTCTCCGGGTAAAACTCTGAACGATTGGAGATAAAAATTATTTTCGAAAAAAATTTTGCATTTTCCCTCAATTTTTCAAAAATTCCAAATTAGTTTTTTCTATACCAATGTCGATGGGACAAGATTACAAGACCTAAGTGTCCGCTTTAGAACTTCTGTGGTGGTGCCGAAATTCCGAGATACAGAAAATTTTTCGAGAAATAAGGGCCTTCGAAAAAAATCAGCATCTTTTTCGTGTTCTCCACACCTAACTCTATATGAATCGTGTTGAATTTTTTTTTTCAGGATCAAATAAAAGTTTTGTTCCCTTAAAGCAATTAGTATCTCAAAATAATTATTTAAATACAAAATATACACAAATTAAGGAAGTTTATCTACAAAAATATCAAAAACTCTTCTTCCTATCCACCTATCAATTAATACTTAAACAAAAAGATTCGTCCACTTTACAGCCATGGATGCCAGGCTGGGTCCATTCGACAAAGATTATCATGACTGTTTGCTGCTGCTACTAAAGTCGCCACCTATAAAAAATGAATACGAAAAAAATAACAATTCAAACACAAACATCCTTTTATCTCACCTTGCTATCAGTCCCTTCGAAATGAGCCAAGCTGGTCAGTCTATTAGAGATCGAAGTGACGGCCTTATTGACCATATTCACGATTTGTTCCGCATCGCTCGCTTTCTCCTGGTTCGTTCCTGTGAGGTCTTCCGGTTTCTTTGCTCTCGACAACATCATTTCATCACGAATAATAGGTTTCAGAATGGCCAACACCTGGAAACAAAAACGCGTACAACTAAAACTGAAATTTCAACAGCCCAAAAATGACACTAAGGCCACGCAAAAATTCCAAGGTCACGTTGATAACCATTAAGGTTAAGCGAAAAATTACCGCTTAGCAATAATAAATACCGAAAAAAACACATGACATACAGCCAAGGCCATGTAGAATATCAACAAGGTATTTGGAGCATCCAAAAGCTACCGACATCCAATATGTCGAACTTGGTATAAAATACTGATGCCAAAAGGTAGTAGTAGTAGTAGTAGTGGAGATGACTTCGAGCTCTCCTTCTCCCTTAAGAAAAAGTTCACTCCACTTTGAGCAAACATGGACTTCTACCAGAGATTGAATACTGCTGTGTTCATATCATGAGATAGCACAAAGCCGCAAAAAATGAATCCAAGGCCGCGTTAACTATTCAAAATGCCGCTAAATACCGAAAAGAACACTTAAAATGCTTCAACACTATATGAAACACTACCAAGGCCACACACAAGACAATGTAAAGTCGATTGCAATGCTACATGTGAGCTAACCAAGCCATGCAAATGCTGAATGCCACATAAACATCTTTCAAGTTCACTTGAACTACCGACAATCACATAAACAACAAAAAAATATCGCTAAGGTCATATAAAATACCCAAGGCCCCATAAAATATTACTCAGGTCGCGGAAATCCTCACCAAAAGTACGTGAAATATCGCACTGAATATGTAGAATATCCCAAGGTTACATTGAATACCGTCAATCGTAAAGTTGTAAAACGCCCCACTTGAGTAATGTTGAATGACCCAAAGGCCACAAAAATGTCAGGGATTTCTTGTGAAGTGAACCAGGTTACATAAAAAAGCCAAGGCCTCATAAGACATCCCAGAAAGTTGGATACCGAGGCAAAAAGCACATTAGATTTTGCCAAGGCCACGTAAATTCCTTAGTTCACAAAAATACTACCCAGTCCATGTCAAGCATCCAAGCAGATGCAATATAACCAGGTAATAAATTTCCGCCGCGATCATGTAAAACATGCAAGTGTCATGTAAAATACAAACAAGGCCATGCATTATACAAAAGCTCAAGTAAAAATCCTCCAAGGGTCGCATTCAATATCTAAAAGGCTACTTAAAATATTCAAAATTCATGTAAAATACTACCAAGGCCACTTCAAGCGTTCAATACATGAAATATGGCCAGGTATGCGTGAAATTTTACCAAGGCCACGTATATTACCACTACGATCTTGTCAATCATTCAAATGCCAATTGAAATACATACAAGGACATGCATTATACCCAAGGCAGCGTAGAATTTCTCCCAAGATGGCATGAAATAATCGACTAGACTACTTGAAATATTCCAAGTTCAAGTATGATACCACCAAGGCCATGTAAAATACCTCAAAGGCCACGTGAGATAACATAAATGTCGTGCAAGATACTCCGAAAGTCACACCAGGATATTGTGAATTATCCCTAAGTCTCAAGAAATATTGCCAAAGCTACATGAAAAACCTTGAAGGTCATGTTAATTACCGCAAGGCCAGATCTCTGAATCGAAACCCTACACTTCCAAAATAAACTCGTGACCAAATTCGGGACATACCTTGAAGTTGGGATAGACGAAACACCTCGAAGTCGCGATCATCGAAGCTGTCAGTGGACCACTCACCCCTATCGTCGACAAAAATTCGATAATGTTCGGTGTCAGTCTGAAGGGTACTGGTCTGGTTGTATCTAATTCGCCTGAAAGAAAGAAAACATCATGGAGTCATCTCTTTGAACTCTAATCGATCATTTTTGCACACATATACATTTTTTTCTATTGATTTTCTTCATGAGAAAATAATAATGTCCCTCGTAATTTTAGCTTACACAACACACAATTATAGATTTTAGAGGACTAATTTTTCTTTATTTCTTTAAAACAATCATCACTCGAATACCTTCCGATTTCATATTCTTTTAGAATTTCTTGGTCGACTTTAAGGTGATAAAATCATCAATAATGTCACGGTAATTTTAAAACGACTAGAAATTTACCGCGGGTACAAACTGACGTCACGATTTCGTGAGTAGGGGCAGATTATTGGATAGTTGCCCTATTTGCAATACGATTGAGAACTTCAGAAACATCAGTTATTCAATGATTCATATTTCTCAATTATGTATTGGTAATATTCCTAATTAACAATAAAAAATCAATTGTCTCGAAATTTTCCCTCATGTTTTGTGCCTTATTGTAAACTACACGACCACCACAGAATTCAAAATAAAGGAAACTGGTTAAACCCGAAATTATATTCAACAAAATAATAATTATATCAACAAACAAATGATCCCGACCGAGAGTGCTTCAATAAGCCACTGGTATCTCTATGCGTAACGTATCTGACACCTCATCGCTTAATCACACCCGTGATATCACTGTCCTAGTCATATTCCTGTATTCTTGAGATAACGACAGTCACATTATTGCTTATAATTCATTTGTGTGAATAATAATCATTATATTAATTCACACTAGAGAACATTTGAACCGGCAAACGTGACAACACGGCGCACGAATTGTGAGCGGTACCTTGTCAGTTCTCAGCATTCCGCACATTGTTGCCAAGTCTGTGTTGTAATGGAGTATAAGAAGTATTTGGACATGCTGGTTGCTCAAAAAAGTCAAGAATGAGCTATATAATATCATGGTTTCCTCCTATTATGTTTTATTTCGTGTTTTATTCAACGAGGGGACTCTAATACCCTTTTGATGACTTGACAACCTTGCTTCTTGAGTGAGAATGGAAGATTAACTGACCAATAACGAAACAGCATGAAAGCTGACGTCTCTATTTATTCGACTGAATGCCATTGATGCATTATCAGTCTACTCGCCCATTGTGTTATATTAGTGAGGTCAAAATAATCCGATTTAATGCAACTTACCTCAGTCCGAAATTGCTCCGTTTCCAAGATACAGGGTGGTGAAGATAAAAAATCAAAATTGACAAGTACACTCACAAGAAAGTATTTTGAAAAATTCATTTTTGCACTGCTGATTCACTGATCAAATTACATCCAAGAAGATATCAGCCAAATATATTTTCTTCAGGATAGTTTTTTGCTTAAAAATGTTCAGAAAATTATTTCTTCAACGAATAAAGTGAAAAAGTGCCCGCATTCGTCCTAAAAAAAACACCAAATATCAACTTTTGATGTGATACGATTAAAAATGTACCTAAATTCTGAGAAATTCGATTTTCATTCTTCAACTTTACCACCCTGTATCTCGAAAACGAATCAATTTCGGACTGAGGTAAGTTACTTTAAATCGGCTCATTTTGACCCCAGGAATATGTGCTGATATTTTGTACAGACACAGACCTTTCAAGGACACCCTGTATATCGTTGAATATTTATACCAGGTGAACAACTAAGAACGGCTGTTGACGTGATCTGGATTATCAATAGATATCGTGAATTGAAAATGTAATGTATGCACATTATTACACAATCAAATAAAGAAACTAAATCTCAACAGACCAACGAAAACTGCAACATGATAGTTTTTCGCAAACGGAAGATATTGACGATCAAAGTTGGAAAAAAGATTGATGACAGCCGTTTTTAATTGTTCACTCTGTACATATAAATAGCTGAAACCTCGAACAACACGGTATAGTTTCATTAGACAAAACCATCATGTTTTTAAATGTACAGCTCTAGAGACGACCAATACCTTTTCAGCAGTTAGAAATAAATGTTTGCCAAATTCGCACGTGTTCATTTTATCAATTCATCTAAAATTCCTTTAGTCCACATCGATAGTAAAGTGAAAATGGAACAGATTGACTGTGATAATTTGCTGTTTTTGGTACTCAAATTCTATTATATCCTTGATTATCAAAACTAACAAGATAATCCACTTCCATGTGAAATGTTGAAGCCAAATTTGGTCTTAGTTCGTAGGCGGCGTTAGCGAAACTCAGCAAAATATGGCCGATTTGTCTTTTCTCTCGGAATCTGCTCAGCTCCATTTATCTGAAAGTTGCTGAAGTATCTAGGAGTATACTGCTTTCTGAAGCAGGAAAATCACTTACTTTGAAGGCCTTTAAATAAAAATATTTTCATCCGGCCCTGATGCGACATTCCTTCTTGCATGAAAAAATTTTATAAATAAACCTCGAATATATTCTGCATTACCGATCTCTACCTCTTACTACTCAACAAAAAGTAGTTCACCTTATCTCTCATAGATGCAGCCACCTACTGAATAGAATTGCTGGCTTCATTGCTTTCATAAGGATGGTTCATCTTATGATTAGTGTAAATAATCAAGGATTCTCAAGGATGGTTCATCTTGTTAGTGTAAATAGTGAACGATTCTATCAAATGTAAAAGAGTATCGTATCCAGGAGCTACGTACCTATACGCCCTGTATAGTGCTTCTAGATTAATGAGTGTCGATCTATTGATGACACACGGGGTTATGTAAAAGGTGACGGGTATTTTGGGTAGAATTTATCGACGTATGAGTAATATTAGGTAGTTAAGAAGTAGCCGTGATACGGCTAGGTTGTATCTGATACCTATTGTGAATATAGTGGAAATCGTGGAGTACCCAGAGTGTTTTATTCTAATAACCGTCCACCAAGCTAACAAAAATGTTCACAAATTATTTTTCTTACCTGTACTATCGTCCACATCGAATTTGAAATAGGCGACGTTCATCAGTCCGGAGTCTTGATGGAGGTACATCATGTCGGGGTTGAGTCGAGTCAAGTGGAAAACGTACTCGGCAAAACATGCCAGAGCCAGTTGCAAAGTGAACTGTACAAAAAAAATTGAAGGATACATGTAGGTAGGTATAAGTATTATTTCAAGATGTTCTCATTAAAAAATCAAATGACTTCATAACAAGACAGTGTCTATCGTAAGAAGATTCATACTAACAGATAGGATAGTTTTTGCTGTCACAATAAATCAAACTGACCACGTGTTGGCAAAAACTTCATGAATCACCGCCAACAGCGGCGTAGAATTATATTTTGTTTAGATACCAGACCACCAATAAAAGTTAATTCCGAAGGATTCTCAGATTGTTCACGGAAACGGTTGAAATTACCTATTCCTCCATTTTGGAATATGAGAGACGAGTGAAATGGAAAATTGAACTGTCAGATCTTAGAAGATTTGCAGTACACGGAATATTGTTGAGTTTACATGATATATTACCACGGCCCTTTACTTTTTACATTGAGTGTTCATTATTAGGTTTACCCAAATGGAGGGACATGAGCCCTATCGCCCCACAATTGAAATATAAATACCACATAGTAAATGATTCTAAAGGGAGGCATCGTAGATAGACACAATTTCAACACTCAAACACATTTTATTCACTCAGGACGGCTTGTATATAGATAACCGTTTATAAAAATACAAGATCGACAAGTGATTCGTTCTACGATATTAATTGACTGAACCTGCTTCAGTCTTTTATCACACGATGATTACGAATACCGATGAGTCGTCGAGGCCGCTTGTGATAAGGCATTCCTTAGACGTTTCTCTCATTTACGGGGTGATTTGAACACCGTCGCTAACAATAGAATAACAATTGTCATGTTCCTGTTTAGTTGATATAGATTGAACATGGTATTCACTCCTCAAATATGAATATGAAAATGGTGAATTTAACTTATGTTACTGAAAAGTAACCAAAGCAATTCGCGAATTTACCATTTTTTGTTGAAAACGAGAGCAAATTCTTTCTCGAAATATCTGAAGATATGTAGGTAAAATTAGGAATTGTTCGATATACCTGCATACTTCTTCTTCAAACGAGGTGTATCTTGACTAACGATTGAATTTCTCTCGAAGGTTAAAATAGTGAAATTTTGAACTTAATGACATTGTGAGACTAATCATCTGATTTGTCCTTACTCTAAAGAGAAAATCCCAAAAATGTGAAATAAAAAACGCATATTTGGTATCAATTATGTAACTCTTACCATTTTCCGGAATTGCCAATAATCGGTGGCAGAAGGGAAAGTCTGGACGGCCCAGTGCTTCAAAATGTTTCTCGGTACTTTGGTTTGCTGCACTCCCTTGAGGATGTCTCTGTATACCTGGTGACTGGCTTTGATGCCTCTACTTTGCACCTGGGCCAACCTTTCGTAGTAATACTGAATGGGATCGTCGTGTTCTATACCTGTTCAATCAATCAACCAAAACATTTTTTTCATTCCGAACAAAGTAACTACCTACCTAACTGTGTTATGTAGGAAATGGTCATATAAAATCATCATTTTCTTTCATTTCATAATATTTCCTGTGGGAAAATCGAGATTATTTGTTTTCCCTCATTGGTTCCCCCAAAAAATCAAAACCAATCAGTTCTTCATCTTGACTTTTTTCCCTACTGAGTAAATTCTGCGTGAACCACCAAAGATATTTATTTATTTATTGAAAATGTTACTTCCAGTCAGAATCTGGTTCTGGTATAAGGAAGTATAGTTAACAATAATATCTAAAACTATACAATAATTACAAACTAATGAATAATAAAATATTTGAAAACATTAATTATTAAATTTTGACAAATCATTTCATATTGGTGAGCAAAAATCAATTTGAATATGAATCAAAAGTTGAAAAAAAAAAGTCATCTATTTCGTTCAGAAATGATAATTTTTTTAAGATGGTATTTGAATTTTATTGTATTTCTGCAATTTTTTATATTATCTGGTAATTTGTTATATTCCAAGAGAGCAGCGTGGGTGAATCTTTTTTGGCCTATAGAAGTATTAGCGATATCAAGATGAAATAAACCATGTTGTCTAGTTTGATAATTATGAATTTCATTGTTTCGTGTTAAAATAAAATTAGATTTCAATCTTTTATTTATGATATTGTATGTAATTTTCAGTCTTGCGATTTTGAACATTTCTTCTAATGAGAATGATTCAGTTATTTTATATAATTGATTTGTTGGTGTATCATATGGTAAACGATACAGTACTTTAAATGTCTTTTTATATCCATAAATGATTTCCACTGGCTTGCAAACAAATTAAGAAATAATTTTTGTATGGGAATCCCAGTGACCGTGCAGTCTCAAGATTTCAATATAGAGGAAAACGGATACATAATCGTGTTCAGCACATCGAGATCATCCTGGATACAAGATTTCAGCAGATTCTATTTTTTTTTCATCACCAACACCAATTTAGAAAGAAGAAATTCAGCGTGTCCTAATAGAACCTGTGTCGATACGCATATGAGTATTATAATGACTTCATCAAGACACAAAATACAAAAAAGCATGAAAAACACTTTGGATCAAAATGAGTACTCACCCAATTTGGTGCATCCCTTCTTGAAGATATCCAGCAAGGACACCGAAGCCGGATTATCCTCCACTAACCTAATTTGCTGGGAAATAGCGACGACCTTGGGCACGGTGAAGTGCAAGAACCTGCTGGCCGTCTCCTTCTGCTTGCCCAAATACAAGTTGAGCATGCGCATCAGCTGCAAAACCCTCTCCTCCCTTCTGGCGTCCGCTAACCCGGAATCGTTCACCACCAGATACGGATAGATTTTTCCATTATGACCTCTGATGAAATAAAAATAATGACTGGCGCGAAACTAATTTATTTCAGGTGAAAATACCTGATGTAAAGTCTGCGGGCAGCGGCGTTGTGTTTTTGAACGACGTCCACTCTGGGCATGAATCGAGTGATGCGGACAAAGTAGTGGTTATGTCGTGGTAGGAGAAACTCGCCTGGCAACTCGACTTCAGCCGTTTTCAAAGTGAAGTTCGATAGGAAACGGCATTTTTCTTCGATGAGGAGGGACCTGAGAGGATTTAACAATGTTTTTCCCTTCAGAAATTCAATGACTTTCATGATTCCCAATGACAATTTATGTATGCGTGGAGGCATAAGCCGATACCTTGAAATTGATTAAATCAGACACAAAGATGACTTTCTTGATTCTTGAATTATATGAATGACGGAACGACAAAAATCCTGATTAGAAGAAAGATATCTTGATCAACTGAATGATTAGGTATTCAATGAGAGATATTAAAAGACATGTAATATCAAGACAATAATGGTCAAAATCATCAGCGAGGCAAGCGTGGTGGGATGAGACAATGTTCCAAGTGTTTTTATCATGGTATTGAGTTAAGAAGGCGCGATGAAATGTGTATGCGTGGTGGAACTGCGCGATGTCTTTAAATTAATAGTATCAGACCTGAAGTTGACTTTAAATTGAGAAACTTCAATTAAATCAATGCCAAACTCATTTCACAAAAAAAAAACTACTGACACGAAGGAAGTTATACTAATCAACTAAGCTAAGCTGAATGGAGAATCAATTATACTTCAAGAAAAAAACAGGTTAAGTATCGAAACACTTATGTTCTAGTTAGAAGAGCGTGATAATTTATGTATTCGTACATGAAGTTGCATTTTCATTGAGAATCTTTGATAAAATTAGTGTGAAACTCATTTCACGATATGTTACTCAACTAAACTGAATGATGAATCAATGACACGTTTATCAATGACATGAAATATCAAGACAATGTTGATCGAAATCATTTGCGATACATGCGCGATGAATCATTCATGCGTGATGGCATCGTCTTGAAATGAAATTAAATTAAGACCCAATGTGAACTTCATATTTCGAATGATTCAAATATGCATCAGAAATCAATAATAAAGCAGGTAAAATATCCGGACGATACTGTTCAGAATTATATTAGTGTTCTTTCACGATGTAAACTTGGTGGGAAGAACCAATGTTTCAATACTTTCTCTATGCTGCAGGATATCCAGTTGGAGAACTGTAATAATTTATGAATGAGTGGAGGCATAAACCAGTGTCTTGTCTTGAAATTATAAAATAAAGACATCAATCATTACACTATGAACAATCCTGATACAAACATACGTTATGAAAGATTGAAGGTGAACATTATTCTATGAGGCTTTTTGCCACAATGTATGCGAGGTTAGATCAGCCAATTCGATTTTTCATAAATATTCTCTAGGCACTGAGGGAATGTTAATTTGGAGAGCTCGATAATTTATGAATTCGTGGTGGCATGAGTCAATGTATTGAAATCAACTAAGGACGTGTAGCTGACTTTACATTGGTAATATCATGATTATGCATCCTGGACGTTGAATATTGATGGAATTTCAAGATGGTACATTCGTTTATGTCAACTGAATGATGGAATAATGAATCAATGAAACGTAGCGATGTATGCGTGGCGGGATTAGTTGATGTCTCGAACATTATTTATATGCTCCATTCACAAGTTTTTTTTTCGGCATTTTAATCGTTAGTGATTATTTGATCAACATACTATAGAGAACTGAGAAATCATAGAAATAAATTGTAACCCTTTTCATTTCAAATTTAGAGCTACTTACTGCAGCAGCATCTTGGACCTGTCGTCCAATATCTTGATCCATTTCTTCAGTTTGAAAATCAACGTGTGCAGTCGCATCGAGTTGGATTGAGAAAAGTCGAAGTCTTTCATAAACTCCGATTTCATTGCTATGAAAACTGGATCTTGATAGGTCGCCTCCGCTCGTCTGGCTAGACTCTCCGAAGCTGCAGAGTTAAAAGTGGCATTCGCAGAGCTAGAAATTTGAAACTTCGAAATAGTTTCGCAAACATCATCATCGACATCATCCTTGATTATTTACACTAACAAGATGAACCATCCTTATGACAGCAATGTAGCAAGAAATTCTGTTCAGTAGGAGGCGGTATCTATGAGCGACAAGGTGAAGTACTTTTTGTTGAGTAGCGAAGGGTAGAAAGGGTAGAGATCGGTAATGCAGAATATATTTGAAGTTTATCAACACGCTTGGTATGTATGTTCGTTTAGTTGTAACGGAATCTTCGAACGTGATTTTAACTCACTTCAAAACGTCCAATTGATTTGAAATTATGCAGGTGTACTCAATTTTGATGACAAATCATTATGAAATTTTCGTTAGAATAAAAAACAAAATGCGGCCCCAAAATGGCGGACGAGTTTTGTGATTATCATCCGATTTTTTCAAAATTGGTGTATGGGGGTTTTCGGGATCGAAGACTATGATTCTTCTATCAAAATTGAGAAATTCAAGATGACTGATCCAAAATGACGGACGAATTTTGTAATTATGATCCGATTCTATTCAAAATTCTTATCTGGGGGTTTTCTGTATCGGATATCATGATTTTTTCGTCAAAATTGTGAAATTCAAGATGGCGAATACAATATGGCCGACGAGTTTTGTAATTATGATCCGATTATATTCAAGATTGGTATCTGGGGGTTTTCGGGGTCGGAGATCATGATTCTTTCGTCAAAATTGGGTACTTATAAATCATATAAAAAACTAAAAAACGTGCTTTTGTAGTTAGTTGAACTGAAAAATAAAAATAAATGGTAGAAGAAACATGTTTTTATCGATAGCCGAACTGAAATTAAGTTGAAAATAAATTGTGGTTCAAGAAATTAAAAATACGCGCTTTTATAGATAGCCAAAATAAAAGTAAAAAATAATATGCGAGCACAAATTGATAGTTGTCTAGGGCATGTTGAAAACCCATGAAAGTCATTACTTGGAAGTGGCATACGTTCAACTGCCGTCTATAAGATCAAATTAGACATCAACATTTTACATGGAGATGTATCATCTTGTTAGAGTAAATGATCAAGGCCATCATCGAAGATTCACCTAGAGATGTTCTCGACGCCGATGCCGAACGTTGACATGAGCTTTTTGACGAAGTTGAGGATGTGCGGCGTGATTTTGGCCTCGTTGACCGCCTCACGGTTCTCGAACGCGATGGCGTAGCACTTGGTGAGGCCCTGGCGCAGTTGCCTCAGGACTTCTTCGTACCAATTTTCGCGGAACCATTCCATCTGCACAGAAAATCACAAAGCTCTACTTGCTAAAAACTGGCTAGATGAACGAGCTCTAGACCTAATAGCTCTGTGAGATCATAATATAACCATTCATCTTCAAAATGGACATTATTAATTGTTCACCCTATATTCACTTTCCCCTGTTTCATTAATAACCAAACCGATATCTTTGACGCATCAACACGTATTTTGATAACTATGTTAGCATCTTCAAGAGAAGATTAATTGTAATATCCTATTAGAGCATGCTGCTTCTATACTAGGTATGTTTACATAACCGTGGAGAACACTAACCACGTAGTCAACGTCTGTCATGGCTGGGATAATATGTTAATACTAATCCTAAATCACTAAACTATACAGAGGGCTATATGAAATAGGTCCATTATCCTAATTCACAACTCTATTACTATTCTTAAGGCTTTCATATGCATCTTAATTTTCAACATTAGTAACTTACTTGACTAATTTAATGTTATTAATGTGTGTGTCATTATTGTGATTAAACATTCGGCTACACTTGATTTATCTTACTTACCTTATTTCAATTGTGCTAGGTTTTCTTTCAATTTTCTTATAGGTCGCCAAGTTGGACATATACATATGTTTTATCACTTTCATTACAACTGATTTCTCACATTCCTGACTTCTCGAGTTTGTTAACTTCATCTTTTGGATTGCCTTATAGCTGCCTAATTTTGACCTTGACTGATATACGCTTTCAATACCTAAGTCTCTGAAAATTTATCAAGACCTTTCGAAACTTGGGATTAAACGGGATTGGGATTCAACTCTAATTGTTTTTATCCACTTGAAAAGTGCTAGATTTTGTTAGTTTATCTACTATTTTCATATCATAACCATTGACACCAGCCCCTGTTTAAACAGTACTTATCTCAACATGGAATATTTCATTGTGTGTGTTAGTTTTTCTTCTAAAAATATCAAATCTAAAAACGGTTATTGACTCTCATTTTCGCATTCGAAGGGTGAATTCAATAGAGAAGGAACTGTTCAATTTTGAAATTGAGTTATCCATATCCGTAGTTTTTGTATTATAAATAACAGAGATGTCGTCGACCTATGTTATCCTAATTTAGATATTTTCAATCTCCCTCTGAATATGCTAACATAGTTAATGAAACGCATGTCGTGACGTACAAAATCAGTTTGGTTAAGGGTAAAAGAGTTGAAGGCTCCAGTCTTCGATATACTCTATATTCAAGTAGGTCACAAAGTTCTTTGGGTATTATAAGTTTGCGGTAGGGATTTTTTTGGTACTACCGAATAATGAAATATTATCTCTGAAATATGTTCCGAGTTGCTTTCACCACAATCTATCCCCTCACCTGATCAGCAATACCCTCCAAACTGCTCAACACCGTCGTGTTGATATCGCGCTGCATCTTCATGATCTTCAAGCATCAAATCATAGTAGGCGTGGCCGATAGAATACGCTTCTGCAGCGGTGGGCGTCGATGATTTATGATAGTGATCAAGATATTTTTTGAAACTACCAAGTAATCCTTTTTTTATAGATGATACCTATTGAGTTCGAGGTGTAATTCCCGATCGACCTTCTTACCTGATCAGCAATCCCCTCCAAACTGCTCAACACCGTCGTGTTGATATCACGCTGCATCTTCATGATCTTCGAGCACCGGATCATAGCGGGCGTGGCCTTGATAGAGGACGCCTCCGCTGCGGTGGGCGTGGCCACGGTCGCAGTAGGCGTGGCAGCGGGGACGGACGAGGAGCCGCTCTCCGAGGTGCTTGACGATTGGTTGCTGGACGGGTTGTCGGAGGTGGGATGTGGCTCTTGCTGCGACTGTTGCTGCAGGATCAGCTGGAAACAAAAAAATTAACCCTCAAATGCCTATGAGACTACAAGCGTGCATCAATATAAATATTCATATTATTTGAACGAATTGGCGACAGCGCGTCCAGCTGTTTCGGTAAACCAAATAAACCCTTTTTGTGTATACTTCCAGTATGCTGCAGCTTATTGCAGAGGTAATGATAGTAAAAGTTGATGCAACTAGGTAAAAATTGCGTTAGTGAATTCATATTTTTGAAAGTTTCAGGCAAAATGAACCATAGGTACACGAAGCATTAGTAGACAAACTCTATTTGGACACCGACGTTGATTATGAATGCGAAGAAGAGTAGCTTTTTGTCATGAGAGAATGTTCATTACTTTGTTTACTAGAATTGAGTTAACCAGTTTATATAAACTATTATTGAAATTAGCTGTGCTCAAAAGAGAAAGAAAATAAGTTCGATTTTTTTATTGAAATACATAAAAATATTCACAAAAAATAATGTATTCAATCAGTGTCCCTGAGGAACCCCCGTACCGGCATTAAGGTTGATCCCAGGAGCATCGGCATTCAAGGGTAGAACACTCATCAGCAAAAACAAGCGAAATTCATTGCCCAGTAACTATTTAAATTTCTGTCTAATAAGGGTCGAATTTCACCAAAATGATTTTTTTGAATTGCAGTTCCTTCCTGGCTTGATCATTATACAGGGAAAATTAGAAGTTATTCTTTCACCTTTGATTTTTTACAATATGTTTTGGATTGGGGTGTATTCTCTTCTCAACACGATGGATTTTGAATCAAGTCAATAACTTATTTTGAAGAGAAGATACATACAAGTGTTTCAAGAAAGTATGGAATATTTAAATTTGTATCAATAGTAATTCAGACTCTATCAGCATCCTTAGTATGAACTTCAGAGGCACATTGGTCTTCGTCTTCAGATATTTTTCAAGGTGTTGATCGATAAGTTCATCATAATTCGAGAAAAAAACTAAACTTTCTTAAAACACTCCTCTAAAAAAAAGAGAGAGAGAGAAGAAAAGGAGATATTTACGTGGATCAGACGATTTTGTTGAGAAGGGATCACACTTCAAGCCAAAACATAATGAAGCTTGGTTTATCTACTCACTTTTGCCACGGAGCGTTAGGAAGTTGGTGAAAGAATAACCATTTTATTTCCTTTCATTATGATCAAACCATCAGCATTTCTGGTGAGCTCAAATCAAGGCTTGAATCTAAGATTTGGTCAAAATTCCACCAAAATCGGACAAGAAATAAAAAAGTTAAAGTGCGATCAGTTTGGCTACATTTTGTCCTGGTCGTTGTTTTTTTGCCGGTGAGTGTATTTCAACACATTTTTGTAAGAGTCGACTATGAAAATGGGGAGAAAGGGACGGTGGGCGCCATTTTTCGAGTATTCTATCAATATTTCTTATTGGTTCAGTTCTTTAGCACACGTTTAGTAAATATTCTCGAATATTACGCCATTGAAAATCGAAGTTTATTTTATTTTTTCATGATCAACATTTTTGTAAGCGTCGACTATGAAAATGAGGAGACATATTTTTCATTGTAACTGGAACGTACCTGAACGCTGTTCGTTTTTCTAGCAGTTGCGGTTCGAAGTGTCAAATAGAGAGTTCTGATAGGGAAGTATACCGCTTGTGGGAACATCCGGCCAACCTTGAAAAAAAAAATACAAGGAAACCGTTAATACAATCAAGCGTTCCTCGAAATATGCACTTTACCTGACAAAGTAAATTGAGAATGACGTTGCCCTCATATTGAACTAAACAGTTCAATAGTTGCGGTGTCCACGGTAACCACAAAATTGGAGGAACCCCCACGGAATACTTGTCCAAGGCTTCCATCAGGCTAGAAAATATAAATGAGGAAAGAGAATTATCATTTAACTACCTGGTATAAGGTTCCTGATGTACAAAATGGCTATTCAAATTATTCAAATCATTTCAATTTTCAGAATACAGAAATTTAGAAATGTTAATAAAGCAGACTATAAAGTACTACCTAGATCTAGTGATATTTGTTCTATAAGTACGCAAAAATAAGAATAAGGATAAAAAACTAGCAGTATCGTCTAACCTCGAACCTTCGTCAAAAATATAAACGAAATACATATCAGGTATCAAAATCAGGTTTACAACCTCTATTGCCAGAGTTAAGTTAACAATTTATTGGAAAAACTGGAATATCTCTTCAACCTTTCAACAGAAACACAAATAAAATGATCAACCTCAAAAAACATCTATCAACATCATAGTTGTTTTGTATATACCAATTATTTTTCAATAGTCATTTATTTTTCTATCCCAATAGTTAAGTTTCGTCTATAATTGCCATTTCATATGGTATTTGGTTTATAATTTCAATAAATAATCCATTTTCTATCCATACTCTTTGTTGAATACGTCATTTCAGGTACCATTGACAACTGATTTACCGATAAATCATTTATAGCTGTGAGCACATAGCTTTTCTAAGTAATACGTCATGAAAATGGTGGAGGAGCCCTAACTATATCTTCACGAATTTTTTCTGAACTCAAATTTGTGTTCAATGAATTCCCATAAACTATACAGAGGAATGGAAATGTACTCATCATCGAATTGAAATTATAAAAAGGAAGAGTCAAATCTATCATTACCTAGATTTATCGTCATCATAGCTGAGAAGCCACAACACCTTGGCCAGATACTTCCTGGCCTTGGCCTCGTTTTGGTGTCTGCAAGCGTGCAGAAAGCAAGCCATGGCGTTCACTCCGAGATTGATTTGTCTTTGGTCTCTGGTGAAGACGCTCTCCAGATAATCACCGTACAAGGCCCACGCTTTGGTGGAGGCGTCGTGCATCTGCACAGCTCCAGAGAACGTTTTGTTTGCCTCGTCAGATTTGTCTGATATAGAAACGACATATTAGTTAGAGTCCCTGAATGTATAGTTTTGCTGTAATAGGTCGTGTGCACGATGACCGACCCTGGAGGCAAAATATGGAAACACAACCTCACTCTTCTGTGAATTATTGAAACACAACCTCACTTTTTTATTTGTTTACAGAGATCAAAGGATTGAACTAGTTTTTCACAATACTTTGGCATACGATTCGTGTTTTGTGCGTTATTCATTAATTCAAGCATGCCTTTGCATTGTGCTGTTGTACAATACACAAAAAATGCAGCGAGAGACGAAGGAATATGATTTTTCAGGTAAATAGTAATCTTATATAGTTTTCATTATGAAATGTTGTCATTCCTTATTAAAATTACTTCTGCCACTTCTGCAATACAAGCTAATACTGCTAATAGATTGAAAATGTCTACAACACACACTATCATATTTCGTCAGCATGTCAGACCAGTCCTCCCGTTTGATGGCATGAATCCAATCTTCTTGCATTATTTTAGAAATTACACGAGTATTTCTATTAGCTCCTATTGCAGAAGGAATTCCGATGAGAAATCAGAGAAATTACCAAATATCAAAAATGAAAACTATATGTGGCTATAGTGGGTACTTACTTTTCAATCATAATGTACCAACCGGAATCCTTCGTCTTCCGCAGCAGTTTTTGTGCATTGTACAATAGCACAATGTGATGGCATGAGCGAATTAATGAATAGCTGAAAAATACGATTCGTATGCCAAAATAATTGTGAAAAACTATTTCAATCACTTGTGAACAAATAAGAAAAATGAGGTTGTGTTTCAATGTTGTGCCTCCTGGGTCGGTCATCTGACAGTTCTTGCACGCAACCCATGAGAGTACGGACACTATGACAAGCAGTGACAGAAGTCATAACCCTAAAAAAATTTAAATGACATGACCAATTTGGCGGGCACTGACAGTTCATGAACGTACATGACATTGAATTATTTGAAAATTCAGTTTTTCAAAAATTAAAATGTCTGATTGTGTAGTTGAAAACTGCAAGAATAGAAGAGGATCATTTCATTTATTCCATTTCTCCCATGATGAACAACAGCTACAGAAATGGAAACAAAATATGAAGCGGCCATTGTGGAAATTGAGTTCAGCTAGCGAAACTATCGAAAATTTAGAGAGAAATTATGCAAACATTCAAAATTTATTGATAGAGAATGATGATAAATACAGAAAAAAATCAGAGAAAAGGATGAACATTTGAAAAATACCTTGAAACGAGACTGCAGGTAACGAAAATTCACAGCTATTATGAGGAACTAATTTCAAATCTTGAACTATCTCATCAAAAATCTCTGGAAGACTGTGAGGAAACTGCCAATGCAAAAATGCAGGCAATTTTGAATCAAATCCAAACCCAAAGTGATAGTTTCGGTATCTATTTCAATCAAAATTATAGTCAATTTCAGTATTTGAAAACGCGAATCCATGTAATCGATGACAAATTAGAAGGTACTTTAAGTAAAATTGCTATTTATGAGCAACGTATTTCTCATAATTCACGAACTATAATCATTATACTTGTATATGTCGAATTTTCTAATCGATCATGCACTATGAAGTGTTTCAGTATTTTATAAGAGCCAATATAAGTTTGTTAATTGGTTGAATTGTTCTTCCCATTCATTTACATTTCGCTCAGCAGAGCTGGCTACTAAATCCTTAATCTTCTATTGAAAAACTAGAGCATTCCGAATCCGAAGTGATTTTCAACCTATTTTGACTCCTAATATCATTTCCCGGAATTTATGGTGGTTCCGTGGCTGTTGGCGAGCAGTGTATATCACTGAAGATAACCCCACTTGGTCATAGAGTGCATTTTTGGTATATCTCTCGCTCCAGCAAATTTCAGGATCCTTACCCAATGATTACGTAAGATACACGGGTGTTTCCATTAGAAGTGGGTCACACTGTACATATAATTATGTACTTCCTCATACCAGATATAGTTCTGTATGGAAGTTATTTGTTGTGATGAACAGATAAATAAATGAAATGATACTTACTGCTCAAGTGATACATCATGCCTTTCAGAGCATAGAACTCCGCGGTCATCTCCTTGGAGAAATACTGCATCTTCGTCTGGTTCAGCACGTCAAGACCTTCGGCCAGCTCGTTCTTGTTGTTCATCGAGGCCAATTGCAGGTAACATTTCACCTGTTGCCGCACTTTCTGGAAGCAATCCACTATCGGCACGCTGGAGATGCTGTAGATGCGGTTCAGCGAGTCCAAACAGACGTTGGTGAGTTTGTGCTTGCGGGCGATCTTACCGAAATGGATGATCGACTGCATAAAATGAGATAGAACTATTATTCATAGAAGGTAATAGTTTCAGCTGGTCTCTGATAATCACTCATTGAATACTTTTTCCTACAAGTGTCAAAAAAACCGCACTTTTTTAATATATTTTGTGTGCCTAGTGTACAATTTTTCAATTTCAAAATACTGTTTCATTATTTTACGTGAAATTGTGAAAGATGTACACACCAACAACGCAGTCTATGGGCTCCTTTACGGGATTCAGCAAGGCAGCAAGCGAACAAATCAAGGCGGTTAACTTGGGAAGCTCCTATATGTAACGATTCGATAAACAATCTATATACATTGCCAGAGAACTTGCGATGTTTCAATACCGATCCTAATATCACAAAAATGCCGAATCCTATCGATATTTTTTCATCAAAATCAATACTTGTTTCAACTCCGACAGCGTAGAAACAATTTAATTTTGATTTCATAGCTATTGTGATTAGAAAATCTAAACTTAAACGAACAATTCCGTGATGGATCCTCATTATTATTTTTGCAACATATTTTTATATTTATCTTATCGATGCCCAATAATTGCAAAAAAATCAAGAGAAAATATGTTGAATGAATAGCAAGACTTAATGTACTAGCTACAGAAAAACGTTGGTCAGGCTCGATTATCTTCTCTTATTGTCATTGCCGAAAAAATCAATCAAATCAATCTGATGAATAGAGAGCGGATAGGTAAGTTATATGGTCTAGTGTTGCATTGGACTGGTCACGACTTATTGAGATTAGAAGTCCCAAATGTACTTGACACTGCTGTTTAGACGTTTTTGTATATTAGAGTACGCACACTAGACAAGCAGTGACAATCAAACATAACCACAAACGATTTTGAAGCAAAGGGGAAGATAAATTGATCAGAAAATTATTTCTTCTCGAAATATTGAATGATAAGGCTGAAGGACCTCAATGGAGATCGATATCAAGTTGGTATGTACATATATACCAACGAAATACATATACTATTCCTATGAAATATTTCTCCCATATGTAGGTATATATATTCGTTCAGTTGATTTTTTTTCATCACAAAAGTTCAGAATGTGTTAAAAACTGACCAAGTAACATACTTTTATTTCGTATGGTAATGAGTAATCAATAAATGAAAAAATGCTATGGCAAAAATAACAGCTGATTTCAGTTAGGATAAATGATAAAGGTTCTCCAAGACATACGGAAGTAGGTATAAATGGACTTCAGCGCTCGACTCACTATAGATCGCCGTTCACATTGCTAAAGGGGATTGTTGGTTTGAACCCGGCCATCGGAGGATCATTTTCAATACCTAACATAAATGGTGTTCTAGTTAAGAGTTCTTGTTCTGTGCTTTGATAATATCTTGCTCGTATCTTGGTACCCAAGGAGTGGTTCAAAATCCACTAGAAGCTGATAAAAATACGTTGGACAATGTTCTATACCCTACCAATACATTTGAATACCTCGCAAATTTTGTGGCCTGAACCTATATCCCACGATGGAAATTCGAATAGAGTGAATTGATTTCCCGTGTTCTCACAGTTTGAAACTGCACAAACTCGCATCTTTTTCCTGATTCTTCAATTTGTCAAACCTTTGAAATTTATGCCATGTACGTCCGTGTACTGTCAGTTCCCGCTTTTTCCATCAATTTATTTGTGGTTATGTTTGATTGTCAGTGCTTGTCATAGTGTCCGTACTCTAATGGATTGCGTTCAAGAACTGTCAGATGACCGACCCTGGATGCACAGTATTGAAACACAACCTCACTTTTCTTATTTGTTTACAGGTGATTGAAATAGTTTTTCACAATTATTTTGACATAGGAATTGTATTTTTCGGCTATTCATTAATTCGCTCATGCCATCACATTGGGCTGTTGTACAATGCACAAAAACTGCAGCGGAAGACGAAGGAATCCGGTTGGTACATTATGATTTAAAAGTAAGTAACTACTATAGTCACTCACATATAGTTTTCATTTCTGAAATTTGGTAATTCCTCTGACTTCTCATCGGAATTCATTCTGCAATAGGAGCTAATAGTTAATACTCGTGAATTTTCTAAAATAATGCAAGAAGATTGGATTCATGCAATCAAACGGGAGGACTGGTCTGACATGCTGACGAAATAAGATCATGTGTGTTGTAGACATTTTCAATCTATTAGCAGTATTAGCTTGTATTGCAGAAGTGGCAGAAGGAATTTCAATAAGGAATGACAACATTTCATAATGAAAACTATGTGAGATTACTATTTACCTGGAAAATCATATTCCTTCGCCTCTCGCTGGATTTTTTGTGCATTGTACCAGGTGATTCAATAAGGATGACGAGATTCTGTATCTGAGAAGCTAAGAATTTTGTCAACAAGGACTGTATTAAGAAAGGAATGTTTGACGAATGAAATAAAAAATCATACATCTCATTCTGGGGTTCTTACCGTCCTCGCTAAGGGACGTGTTTTATAGACTATTAATTTCTGAGATACAGTACCTCGCCACCCTTATTGAATCACCTGGTACAACAGCACAATGCGCAGGTATGCTTGAATTAATGAATAGCGCAAAAAAACACGATTCGTATGCCAAAATATTGTGAAAAACTATTTCAATCCTTTGATTCCTCTGTTAACAAATAAAAAAAATGAGGTTGTGTTTCAATAATTCACAGAAGAGTGAGGTTGTGTTTCAATATTTTGCCTCCAAGGTCGGTCATCGTGCACGCGACCTATAAACAAAAAACGTCAAAACAGCAGTGTCAAGTACATTTCAGAACTCTAATTAAGACCAGACACTATGAGTCGTACTCGATCAGTTGACAAAGGAGCAACTCTGTACCAAACAAGACCTGAATTTCATGTACCTGCGCTGATGCGTGAACGCCCAACATGGAATTGGTGGTGGTCGCTGCATCCCTGTTCCTCTCGTAATGGTTGACGATCTCCTGATAGTGGTGCTGGCGCCACGTGAAAATGTCGTTCCAGTGCACCAGATCGTCGGCTATCACCGGTAATCTGTTCCGCCACGTCTTCACGATGGCTTTCATGTCGTGCAACGAGTTCTGGTTGCCCTGTTTCAGGCCTTTGTGGATCTGGTAGGCTTCTTGCAACTCCATCACCTGTTTTATCGTCAATTGTTTCATTCAGTTGATTCATGTGTTCGTTCATTTTTCTACTCACATAACTAAAATGGCATTTAGCGTACGGATACGTACCACGCGGTGTATCGCAAGGGTCAGTCTTGGGACCAGTTTTATTTTTAATCTACATAAATTCAATATCAAACTTGGATTTGAGATGAGAATTCAAATTATTTGCAGATGACACGACATTGATTTATTATCATGGACATGAAAAGTGATTTGAAGAAAATATACTCTTGGTTACAAGTTTATGAACTATCTCTCAATTATAATAAATCCTCAAATATGTATCATAATTTACCTTCAGTAGTAATCTTCTTCATCCAGCAAATAAGAGATTTATGAAAATTATTCATAATACTCCACGAAGTAGGAAAAAAACGTGTTTTTTTAAATTTTACAAATTTCACAGAGATGAAAACCTGAATATTGGAAACTTATCCATCGTCAAAGGCGGAAATGAAAATCTATGACATATAGAATGATTAGGGAAGAAGTGATTAATCATAGGCTGGCCACTCTGCCCATTCAACTACCAAATCCAGGATTTCCCTCAGGTTGAGAAAAAGTACAGCTTTGTGAAACAAGTCACTACAAGGCTGAACTGCCAAAAAGAATGGAACAGTGAATCCATGAGTATTGAGCTCAAAGAAGGAGCCATAAAGTGGTATACAGATGGCTCCAAAGCAAAGGTAGAACTGAAATAGGAGTCTACGGGCCGCATTCTGAATCGTATTACAGACGAGATACCATTATCACGTCCGATAGTCAAACAGCCGCCATTAAAGCGCTAAGCTGTAAAATAATTTGGGAATGCTAGAAAAACTGAACGAGCTAGCTAACTGAAATACAGTCAGAATACAATGGGATCCGGGATATTCCGGAGTAGATGGAAACTGAATAGCGGGCAAACTAACTCACTAAGAAAGAGGTTCCAACACTTCTATACGTCAAAACCTTCCTGCGAGATCAGCAGCAGTTTTGTATCATAGCAATCAAGAGAGAAGAAGCATTATAGAGATTAGACAACTGGTCTTCAAGGTCTTGGACATGCTAAGATACTATTCAATGGCTTCATATAACCACAAACGATCGAAAGCAGCCTAAACAAAAAAAAAATAACTCAGCATACTAATAGGAGTTCTAGCAGGGCACTGCTGTTTGCCAAGTCATCTTAGGATGCTCGGCTTAGGAGATGAAGATGAATGCAGGTTCTGCGGGGATGAGGAGGAAACCTGTATCTACATACTTACGGGAAAGGCAAGAAACCTGGGAGCTCACATAATAGAGGAGGAGAAGCCACCTTACCTGGAACCACATCATATCCTGAAATTTCGGAAGGATATAGGACTAGAGAAATTGCTATAGCTGTGGAGAACCACCTCGTCGGGTATAGCAAGAAAAAGGGGCACAATAGATCTTCTAGGTCACGGTGTAAACACTTCTTATGTATACGATACAAAACAGGCCATGTTTCGAATTTCTCTACGTCACATCGAGCGAGACGTTCATTCTACATTTTTCCGCTAAATGATGATGATGCTATTGCTGCTGTGACGAGTGGAAATAAACTGGCAAATGGCATTTTAGGTACGCGAAACATATTATGTAACAGTGGGATTATTCAACTCTGAATTAGAAAAATCTGCGGCAATTTAAAATTGATAGATGTCATAATTGTGCAAAGTCGCCGTCTATCCGAGAACCATCGAAAACATTGTTCTCGGGAGGTCAAGAAGTATTTCTGAAACAAACACGCATCAGTAAGTACACCATCTACTTATTTCCATCATTCTACTGATTATTTGTTTCGAAATTAAAAATTTCACTGAAAGTGACAGTTCTCGAGAGCACACATACTATCCATTCTTTATATTTTCGGCTCAGATTTCTGCTGAAACATTGCTGAAACTACTGACCAGCAAAAGGTAGTGTGGAGTCAGCAAATAGAGAAGAGAACAAATTTTTCAGGCAAACAAATGTTAAAGTTGGCTACATTATCATGATTACTTTATTATTATTCAAAAAAAGAATTCAAATCAAGACATTGATACATATTGCTCATCAAATCCCGAAGCTGGTTTGCTCGATTTATCTTAGATTCGCCATCATGGAAACCCTTCTAAAGTACTTAGTTGGTGTTCCACGTACGAATTATCTTTCATTATCTTCGTTCTATTCCAAAACATAATTATAAAATAAAAAAATTGTGGATAACTGAATAGTAACAACTCACTGCTATAAAATTTGTTCCGAATATCAGCACAAGTAGTGTCACTGTAAATACTGACCTATTTCGGGACAGCAGAATTCCATTACTGACACTGTCAACAGTTGAATTCGGCTAATAGCCACGATGTATCACAAATCAATTGTATGAAATAACAAATACGTATTCTTTAGATGAAATATATAGAATTGAAACTCTCAAAATATCATATATAAATATATATCATAAATATATCATAAATAAAAAATTGAAGTCGAATATTATTTTGATACGGAATTCTGAAATTCATAATCATGAAACTAGACAATATAACTTGTTCCATCTTGACGCCGCTAGCTCCTTAATCGGACAAAAAAGATTCACTCATTCAGCCTTAACTGAATTCAATAAACTACCTGATATAAAAAATTGCAGAAATATAGGTATATTCAAAAATGAAGTAAAAAAACTGATTATTTCTCAGCGGACTGGATAAAATTGATCATGGCATTTTTTTTTTTTTTTACAAATATTATTCTCTGTTTGCCAATTTACAGTTGTTGATATATTTTTAATGATGCTATGTTTACCTATAGGTATATAATTATGTACTTCCTTATACCAGAGCCTATTCTGTCTGGAAGTTATTTGTTCAATAAATAAATAAATAAATAAAATAAATATGGATTGCAAGTATTTCAGTAATCACCTGTTGCGCCGCTTGCAGGTACTGCAAATGGATGTGGCTGACGATATGCGGCAATCTCCGCCACTCGTTCAGACACAAAGCACTCGCGCTCTCGACGTATCTCTCGACCAGCTTCAGCGGCTTACTGTCGTCCGGCTGGCAGATCAGCAGGAACCCCCCGTACATCGTGATCTTCCAGCCGAGCTCCTTGGGACAGTTGAACTCGACGTTTTGCAGCGCCTCCTTCATAGCGTCCCAGTTGGGGATGCGCCACGCGCTCTCGAGAAGGAGATATGGGTCGTAGACGCCATTTTTAGCGTACTCCATCAGGATCTCCCATTGGTTCAGTTCTTTGGCGCACCTTTAGTGAATATTATCAAACATTTGAAATGGCCGAACACAAGAATAAAAAATTGAGGGGTTGTGCGTGGGTTGTTTTGTATTTTATGTGGAAAATTATTTCATTATACTCATTAGAAGAACTTCATGTTTCCTCAAGGGCTGTCCAAATCGTATGTATTCATCAGATGAAGTTCTAGTGAATACTATGTAACATTCTCAGAAAATCCGAATTATCGGAGGTGATTGAGTCGTTTTTGGTTAACTACATACAGTGTCACCATAAAGAATCCGAGAATATTACGTCATCGAAAATCGAAGTATATATAGTTTTTCACTCGGTTTTTCAACTATATAAATTGTTATCCACAAGAATGGGGAAGTTTCCTTCACATGAATTTTCATAAAATAAGTTCGGAACTCTCCAGTTTAATGTCCACGCTGTACATAATGGCGACCGATAAAGTCCAAGTCGTTTTGATTTTCGAATTAAAGCAATTTCTAATTGTTGGGGCGGCAAAACTATGACGTACATTCTGAATCTAGTCTGGAAATAGCTGATAGTGAAGAGCTAGCGAAAAGCTAACCAATGAAAAACGAATGAAGAAATAGTAAGTATAACTGGTGAACACAAACATAGATAACCACAAATGCACTCGGAGCAGGAATGCAGAGGGTAGTTGGCTTCATTCTGACAGGTTATGGTTTTGTTATTTATGCATCGATTATCTCGATTAAAGCTCGATCCTAACCGAAAATATCATTGAATCAATGAATCACTATTGGCTACATTCAATGAAACAATCGTTCCTAATTTACTGTCATCGGTCAGAACAGAATGAAGCCAACACCCATGGCTCCTTCCTCTTATTTGGGATTTTTGTTTATGCAGATTTGGGGTTCATGAATAAATCATGTTATGACAATAATGCAGAATCATTTTGTTATAACCTCAGTCGTTCACGTATTATGAAGAAAGTGCCTTGTCTGCCATTTGATTCCTCTTATTTCCCGCTTATCTTCACGTATATTTCTCGATAATATTCCAATTTGATGACTTCCTTTGTGCAAATTTACGAAGATATATCCAGTAAAAAAGTGATTTCACAATGTAAATTTTTCCGTCACAGTAAGAATCATAAGTCGCGTTTGTTTGTGATCTCTGGTGCAAGAATTGGGTAGGAACGAATAAAACGGCAAAGAATGAAGAATGACATTGATGTGATGACAACCGTGTGAAAACCACATGCAATCAAAATGACATAATAATCATCAATAAAAGACATCGGAGTTTAGATTAGATTAATTTTTGGATCATTGGATTGGGCCCATGGATTGATGATACATATTGGATAATGGTTTTGGTATATACGTGCGGGCAGTGGGGTAGGTACGTGAGAATTTCTAACTATGACTAATCAATGATCATTCCCTAAACATTAGTGTTATTCGATATTATCCAATTTTGATAGTACCTATATATTAATGGAGAATATTGTAGTGAATCATGCAGTGAGCACCATATTATGGAAATGGAAAGTGAATTGAAACTTATATTTGTCACCTACCTAGCGACATTCTTCATGAAATTATGGATTCATGAAATGACAAAATCAAATCCAAGATGATGAATGTTTCATACTGACCTTTTTCAGAATATGTAAAGAAGCCCAAAAAATTGAAAATTTTCATGGGATTGTCATACCAAGATTCAATACAAAGACCTTCCAGAGCCATTTCTGATTGCAGATTGACTCCTGAATATTTCCATGAGTTATATGCACATGTGTCCACTTTTGTTGGCTCATCTTTTCCATTATTAGGTACCCACCTATTCCTTATTCCGTATCTACTGTATCTACTATTTCTATTCTACAAAGTTTTTGATTACAACACAATTATTATGTGGAATACCCTTATTTGTCAAACATTCCACCACGCATTCGTTGTTCTGAGACCGAATGGCCAGTGCCACCAGGATGATAAGAAATTCCAGAATAGTCATTAAAACGGCGATTCTGTCCCACTGGTGACACTAGCAATGCCAATAAAACGCAAATAGCAAATATTCATCCCCTACTGCCCCACCGGAATCCCCCTGCGCCTACCTGATCCAGTGGTCGGCCCACAGCAGCACCTCCCGTTGCGCATGCGCTGGCACAGGCCCCGCCCCGTTGTCCGCCTTGTGCCTGGCCATGGCCGCCTTGTACGCCCCCTGCGCCTGCTCGTAGAAGCCGTGCTGCTCATAAGCCACCGCCACGCCTGTTTCCTTGTAGTGGGCGTGGCGTTGCCACAGCCCCGCCCACAGGTCCGTCTCGCACAACAGGTGGTAGAGGTCGCCCAGGGAGTCGAGCAGCTCCTGGAATCGGATCGGATCGTCGTTATTTCAGACTAAATAGTAATAAATAAATACAAAAAGCTCAAAGTCATTTCCACACAATGTTCATAAAACGAACAACAATGGTAGATTTCGGGAGAAAAACAACTACTTTCCTGGCTAATGCCACGCAGAACATGGAATTACATTCGCCTGAAATCTATGCATCAACTCGTATAAACGAATACTGATACAAGTCATTCTTTCCTGAATGCCTATTGATTTCGATTTAGCCAGGCCACGCTAGACAACCACAGGCCGCTTTCGAGCTCTTTGACTCTCATCAGTGCAGTGTAGTATCCAGCCAGAAGTCCTAAGACCGCCGACTCAGCGATGCCTAGCCAAACAAAAATCAAGTCGGCATTATATTCCCCCCGAGGCGTCTTTCATCTACAAGTCTACAGGTCTTTGTTTTTGTAATTCCGAGAAGCATCGACATGATATAACTGTTTGAAATAGAGATGAATACAAGAAAATCGCTAATAAATTATTTGAGAATATTGAGAGGATACCTGCTTCATACCAAGATTACATTAAGTAGAATTCCATTGGAATCAGTATCATTATTTGCGATCTTACTTACATTCATAATATTATGCAGCAGAAATTTGACAGCGAACGGAAATTACTCACCATTTTTGATGGTTCCCCTTCGAATTCGTAAAGGTTGGCAGTATTGCCAGATCTAGAATTCGAGTTTGGATCGAAGGCTATTTGTTCGAGGCCCAAGGCCATCCGGTGCCACAGGTTATGCGACTTGCCGATATATTTCATCAGAGGCCTGTAACAATCGATCATAAAATTGATCAACAAAATAGGTTTGGAACAAGAATCAGTATTTGCACGTACGGAGCTATTTGTACAGGCGGAGTACACCGGAACAAAGCTTCTACGAAAGTATTTATGGCACTAGGGTGGCAATCTTTCTGGATTATGTGTGTACCTGACGTTATGAAAGGTAGAATTTCCTGTGCTAGAATCTAAAATATAAAACGTTCAACATAACATCTCGATGTGTTAAAGGTTGCGAATTCGAGGAACTCTATAACTCACACATCGTTGATCTTCTTCAAGAATGTTCCATAGTTTCGGAAACAGTGCTAGCCACACATGTTCAGCCAGAGTAGTATCCATGTGACATAACTGAGCAGCAGCTACCAAGAACCTATCGGTCGTAATGCTCCTATGAAATAAAAACATCTATTGAATGAATAATTTCGAAATATTTCAACTTCATTTTACCATTGATTATTTACACTGACAAGATGAACCATCGATATGAAATCGATGAAGCCAGAAATTCTATTAAGAAGGTGACGATATCTATCAGCGACAAGGTGCCTACTTTTTGTTGAGTAAAGAGGGGTAGAGATCGGTAATGCAGAATATTTTTGAAGTGTATTTCTTGATGTTTTTATGCAAAAAGAAATGTTGCATCAGGGCAGGATTGAAATAATTGTATCTAAAAACCATCAGAATATCAAAGTTAGTGATTTTCCTGCTTCAGAGAGAATGATATTCTTAGATAGTTCAGCAACTTGCAGATAGATGGACTTGAGCAGATTCCGAGAGTATAAACAAATCGGCCATATTTTCGCTAACGCCGTCTACGAACCAGCTTAGACCTCAGGCCAAATTTGCCTTCAACATTTTTCAGGAAGGTGGATCATCTTGTTAGTGTAAATATTCAGTTCACTCCACAAATGTTACACACGCAAATACTCACCTGGCTACTTCTATGGACTCGTAATCCTTCTTCAACATTTTGATCGTCTCTTCTCTGATAACTGGTTTTTCTTCCACTAAAGGGTTAGAATCGATATTACTGAGGTCGACGTCCAAAACTTCCTCTTTTATTTCGGATGAATCAAAGAAATCCGGATTTTGGAACTGGTGTCTGCTGAATTCCTCTTTTTTCTGTTTGTCCGCGTTGTTCAACACTGACGTAATACTGGGTAGGATACTGCTTTCGTGAGACATTTTGATACCGTCTCCTAAAAAGAGCGTTATAGTTGTTGATATTCTCCAGCCAATCAGACAATGAATATTGTCAGTGGGGTGGAACCTAAGAGAATACCAAGGCTCCACGTGAATTGTATTGTTCTTATGGAATTCTTTTGAAGTTTGGATATTTTTTTTACCTGATGTTGCTGTGACAAGTAAGAGTTCAATGCATTGTTTGATCCAGTAATGGGGTCCGATGGCGTCCCAATTCTGGGAACAAACGATGTAAAGTAACCTGTCATGGAGTCTTTTTCGCATAGATTCGTCGAACACTTTGAAAAACTTCGCCCTGATATGGGGTTGAGTACATCGTAGGCCGGCAAGGAATGCAGGTTCCAGTTTTGAGGTTAGTTCAGTAGTTTTCAGCTGTTTGTCACTGAAAAAATACTATGAAAATATCATCATCTCAAATGATGATTTGACTTACGTATAAACATAATTTACTAGTTCCAAAAATTGAGCATTGAGATCATTATCGTCTGCGAAACGTTTTTCAACGTACTGCATCATTTTCACAAGCAAAATAGACTTTTCTCGTAAACTAGGAGCTTGATTTAGGGTAACTACATTTTTGCATTTCATCCACTCTTCCAGTATCTGAAAAATTGAACAATACAAACTATTTTCTGTCGAAATAATTCAACCTCGACGCTTACCCTGACAATAGCTTTCATAACCTTCATATCCTGCGTCTTTTCAATCAAACCTACTAGAATGGTTCCGATAAAAGTTTTTCTCATTTCAACCCCCATAACAACCACCCTCGTCTTAACCAAATCCAGACTGAGTATCAGCAGTTCGCTCGTCAAAGCAGTATTATCGGTGGTAGTCGATGGTTGCAAATGTTCTTTCGCCAGTCTTTGTAACACTCGCATGAACGAGGTTATCAGTAAGTCTATGTAGGAATGGTTGTTAGAGCAGGCAGCCTTCAAAATCATCACCGTTCCAAAGAGACTGGAAGGGTTCTCTTTCTTCTCGTAGTTGCTCAGACCTTCGAAGATAACCTGTAGGGACGTCACCTTAGAAATGGAATCGATAGCTCGACAGATGATGAAAGATATTTTTCAGGTTTATCTCAACTACAAACCAACTAAAAAGACAGCATTGGAAACTATAGGCAAGCACTGACCTCCACTGAGATTGGTTAATATTGAAGGCAAGTTTTAGGCACTATATATTTATTTCGCCAGTGTGAACATTCTTTCAGAGGCAGCGCTACCTACTTTCTTCTTATTTGGATTGAAGTGTAGGCCCGATAACAAAAGCCAAACTTTTTTAAACAAAGAGGGGGAGAGAGAGGGCGAGAGAGAGAGAGCGAGAGAGATGAAGACAGCTACTTACTTTTCCCACCGTAGAATACAACACCTCTAGCTCCTCGTACTTGCAGCTCAAGTTAGTGTTGGACCTCTCCATGGGAAAAAGAGTGAACAGCTTGGTCAACAACCCGTGGACCAGCTTTATGATCCTGCTATTGTTAGAAGTGATGCAGGCTCCTATGCCCCTCTGCAACGGCTTGAAGCTAGCTAAAATTTGCTCTTTCCCGAACACGGTAAGAAGGTACGTGAGCAGCTCTAGAGCAGTACAAATGTTGGCAACGTTGGGATTGGGAGCCTCAATGCTGGTGAGGATTTTGTCGAAGAAAGCTAGCTTGAGATCGACAGGATGTGGCCAAATATCCGGTTTCAGGGCTGTTTTCAGCAAAATCACGCAGCGACGAGACAAGATTTCGCCGGGACTGTTACCCGCTGGATTGGCTGGAGTCGCTGCAGCAGGTTCGTTTACTTGACAAGCCAGCCTCAGCAAGAAATTCAGCACCGTATCCGTATGGGCTCTGTCTATTGGTTTGTTGACGCCCGGCTCAGTTTTCACCACCGGCACTGCCACAGTACCAGACGGTCCTGCCACAGCCATCTTCTTTCTAATACTCTCGCCTATGTCCTCAGTCACCGGTCTTTTGATGGACACATTCTCCACAGACTCTGCATTTTCCGAGTCCTCTTTGATACCGTAAATCTCCCACTTGATGATCACCTCGGCTAGTTCCACCGCCAGCTTCCTGTGCTCTAGAGTCGCAGTAGGGCTGAACCCGAGTCTCTGAATGGAACTAACCATGTGTTGAACCAAATGGTGTCTCACCGGATAATAAACTTTGTAATGTTTGACGACCAGCTGCAGAATGTGGAACAGCTGTTGCATGGAGTGACCTTCGTCCACTATTATCTTTTTCGTCCAATGCGTGAGCATCGTATTACCTTCCTCCATCCTCAAAGGCATAGAGGGCGTCAATATCTCCAAAGCCTGCCTTACCACGCTTCTCGCTTCCACTGCGTGTGCTTTCAGAAGACTGTGGAACACTTGCAGAACGATCTTCCTGTGTATGGCGAACTTGTCGATTATGTGGGACAACAACAGGTGGCCGTGATAACGAGTAGCCGGATCTATGCAGTTCTCCACCAGCAGGCAAGGCCAAGCGAAGGTCATCAAGCGACGCAGCTTGAAACCCTGCGCCTTATTGTTGGCATCGTGATCGTGGATATGCGGACTCGCTTGCTCCACTAAAAGACAGGAGAACTGCAGGAGTGATATTCGAACGCAGTCAGCTGACGGGAAAGGATTATCGGGATCGATGAGCTTGTTGATGAATACCGACACGATGTTGTCGCTGCTGTCTTGATACGGCATCGGCAAACCTCCCACCAATTTATTCGTCTCGCCTCTTTCGAAGCTGACAGCGAAACAAGGGATAAGGATCAGCTGCAGCACTTTGGATTTGAGTTCCTGAGACATCTCGCTAGTGGGGAACAGTTCGACGAACCTAAAGAAAGCCGATCGCTTCCACTCGACAGTATAGTTCTGAGCCACAGTGTTTTGTAGAAAGTCACGCAAGAACTGGAATTCCGGTATGAATCTGTCGACAGTGGCTCGCAACAGTTGAAATAGCAAGTCGATGTCGGTGGGATGGTGGCAGAAGTAATGCAGCAGGATTTTCACTACGAGTTTCGGTTCCTTCCAATGGGTGTACTCCAGCTGATCCACGTTCTTGTGCCTTTCTTGGTAAGCATCGTCGCCCCAAATCTGTCTCAGAGCATCAACGAGCTCCTTCTGAGTCGACAACCATTGGTTGTCTGCCTTGATGAGCAACGAAATTATCCTTATGCTCTGGTACTGCAGCTCGTTGCGCTCGCTCAGCTCCATCTTCAGGGTTATGTAATTGGATAGCAACATGTTAATGAGACGTTTGACGCCCTGCGTTTGGATGTAGTCTCGGAAAGGTTTGCCGTCCTTGTTCTTGATCATAAATTCCAAGTACCTGCTGAACTGCTTGTCTTTGATGAAGTCGTTAAGGAACATTTCCATCGTGTCTGCGGGGTAGCGCAGCAGGAATTTCATAAGTACTTCGCGGAACGGGCTGCTCGCTTCGATTCCCATCGCTTGTTCGCTTTGCAGAATGAGCTGGCACAACTGATTGATGAAACTAGATGAAGCTGCAGGCGTTTGATGGAAAATGCTGATGATGGTCATGATTTTCTGTTCCTCATCGCCTTTTTTAGATAAACCGGTGGTCTGGTTCGATTTGTAATTGTTCTTCAGATTCTCCAGCAACTCTTTGAGGTTATGCAGTAGCTGTTCGCACAATTTCTCTTGGAAAAGTTTCGGAAACAGTTGTGTCAAATACGAAAGCATCTTGACTCCATTCAAGGTAAGCATCTTGACATCTCCCAAAGTCATCAACAAGGGCCTAACAGTTTTATGCAACAAGTCTTTCTCTACCGCATAGCCCGAGATGAACTTCTTCATGCACTCGAAAGCGGTTTCCTGCAACTCCGCATTTGGTTTCTCCAAGGCTTTGTAGAGCACTTGGAAAATTTGTTCTCTAACTTCTTCGAGATAATAACAAGCTGCCAACACCCTCAGAGCGCTCGTTCTCAAAGGTATGAAGTTTGTGATGGATTTGTAGCAAGAAAAAGTGTTCAGTTTGGTGTCTTCTGTATTGCAAATCGACAAAAGGTCCTGTATGAAGAGACTGTGCTCATTGATACTCATATCGATCGTGAACAATCGAGGACTCAAAGTGGTGCAGAACATATTCCCGTCCATGAGCCCCATCTGAGCCACAGCTGGTTGATGCTTCAGAAGATGCTTCTTGGGCGGCACCATATCAGCCAGGACGTCCTTGAAGGGTTCCATGACAGCAGTGAAAGACTTGTTCTGCTTCTCAGCCAGCAATTTCAAAGAGGCCATCGACTGTTCCCTGACCATAGTATGAGGACTGGTGACCTGCCTGACAAGCTCGTGCGTTACTTTATGCAGAGCCTCGTTCTGCAAATCCCTCGTCGCTTCGTCGGAACCTTTGGGAGGAGGAGTGACACAGACGACCAGCATCTTCTGTAAGTTATCCTTGGCCATGTCCAAGGCTCCGCTGGAAACCTCTCCGGTCAGGTCCATCATGACGAACAGCAATGCTTTGAGGAACATGAACATGTGCTCGTAGATCCATTTGAGGGCGCACCTCTCAAACATGAACTTGATGGCGATGCATCCACCTAGTTTGGCGTACCAAGCTCGCTCGTAGCACAGACCACACATTTTTTCCGACAGGTACTCGATCAACGGTAGTCTGCAGGCCATTTCCTTGCTGCCAAGTAGGGTCGACGCGGTATCCACGATTAGGACTAGGCCCAGGTGCCCTGGTTTGCACAGTTCGCGCTCCTCGTGCCCCATTATAATGGCTAAAGCGTCGACCAACACTAAGGGATCCAAAGTGACTTGCTTGTTGGGCTTGGGCGTGCAGGCGAAAGCCCCCGACTGTTGAGCGACCGCTACCATGGTATAATGCCTCACCAGCGAGACAAGCGCTGGTATCACGGTTTCGCGAAGCTCCTTTATAGCAGCACCGACGAACATGCCCGTCAGAGCAGTCTGATGCGTTTCCCTAGCTTGTTTGTGGATGGATTTGTACGTCGAACCTTTGATATTCGGGATGGTATCCGGATCGTGGAAACTAGGGTGCAAAAACAGGTTAATAAGAGTATTCTCGTTATCGTCCAGACTCCTCGAGGCTGTTAAGTAGCAATTGATCACCTCCCAAGCTTGCTTCCTGTAAAAAGGATCGGTGTTGCTCTGTTTCAAGGCGTTGAAAGCCGTGTCGATGACCTTGGATACGGGGAACTCCAGCGGCTGGTCTTGATCGTGGAATCGCGCCAGGATAGCCGGAGGATCAAAGTCGGTCGACACGTAGTCTAGCTTCTGCGGTTCAATCATCATCTTCCTGTTGCCTCCACCGAACTTTCCAAGAACCTTGAAAGCCACTTGGGCCACTTGGTCGTTGTTCCTCAAGGTCCTCCACAAGGCCTGCATCAGCTCCGCTCTAACTGGCTGGATATGCTCGTAAAGAAAGTCATGTTGCAGATTGTCCACGCACAGTTCGAGGGTTCTGAGCCCCTGACTGATCAGCACATGGGATCCGTTCAGCGCCGACACCAGGGGATCCATCAGCATTGGCAAGTAAGGCAAGAGAGAGCTGAGTCTCACTGGAACGGTGAGACACAGCTCCACAAAGAGATCCTTCATGTGTTGCTTGTGCAAGCCGCTTTGGAGTCTGTTGAGGCCTTCCAGCAGGTTGGGTAACAAGGGCAGGAATTCCTGGTAGAGGAGATCGTGGCTGCCACCTCCTATGGACCTGAACAGAGCTCGCAGGAGCAAAAAGTAGTTGTACGGCTCCGTGGCGCTCATGGCTAGTTCCATCGATCTGTTGACAATCTGATGCAGATGAGGCCTGAGCATGTTCTCGTTCTCTTGCGGGAACAAAGATACGCTACCGAAAACCAATTTGAAGAGTCTCAAATACAAGTTGCTCCTCTCCAAGTTCGATCCCATTTCTTCCATTCTCTCCAACAAATATTCGACCAATACGGTGGCGAAGATCGGACTAGTAGCAGGATTAGCAAGAAGAGTGTTGGGCACCGTTTGCAGAGTCGGGTTCTCGTACACCCTCTGCACCAGATATTCGATGGTGGTGGAGAAAATTTCGTGGAAAGTTTGGGAGTTCATCATGGAGAACACTCCACTGAAATGTTCGAGCACCTCTTTCTCCTCTTTGGTTCTTATATTTTGCTGGTTCATTCTCTGAGGAAGACCGATCGGCTGAGGCCCCACGTTCAGCGTGTATATGTCCAGAGCTTTCAGAGCCCACTTGACCAGTCTCACGAAGACTAGCGTTTCGTGGGGCTGGAAATGTTTAGACTGGACCAAAGATTGACCGGTAGCCGTTTTACATGCCGAGCATCCCCAAGTGATGGTTTTAACGCCACAAACTAGGGTTTTCACTAAGCTTCTGTAATCAGCTACGTTGTAGTTGTTGTTTTGGGGGAAACCGAATTTAGATTTCTCCTCCTTGCTGGTTTGGGTACCCTGAGCATTTGCTAGCACAGTTTCCAAGAACTCAGCAGGATTGGGTTTAACATCCTGCTCTGGTGGTTGCACAGGATTTTGTTGTTGGTTTTGAGCTTCTTGTTTTCTTTGCTCGCATTTAACGATGAGAATTTTAGCGATAGTTTTGAATTTCAGCACAAACACTTCCAGCATCCGCATCAACAATTCCCTGCCTTCGCTACTGTTCTCCGCTTCGGATCTAATCCTGATGCAATCCACCAAATTCAACAACAACTTGCAGGACATGGTCTGAATAGTCGTCGCTAGACTGTCATCATGCACGTTCTTGCTGAATAAATGAACGGCTCTGGTAAGATTACTTAGCGGCAACTGCTGCCTCACATGGTGTACTAGATCTGCAAGCGTGGAATACGCTAGGGGCCTCAGAGACTCGTGAGTGGTCCACCCTCTACCCAGAAGAACATCCTCATCGAATAGCCTCTCCATGTGTGGAACAAACTTATTCCTGAGCTCGGTGGCCAGGATATGCCTGGCTGCGATCAGAAGTTCTCGCCTCAGATGCGCTACTTCCATAGGGCAGAGTGTCAGCAGCCCCAGCATACCCTGTACCATCATAGAAGAGTGTTCTTGCACCACCTCCTGGTAGATCTTGATGATGTAAGCTAAAAAGGACAGGGTTTTGATCTGAGCGCCCATGAAATCAACGAAGATCTCTTTGTTGAACGAGTCAGCCCGGCGCTGTTCCAAACTGGGCTGCAGCGTGATGGTATTCATAATATGGGGGATGAAATCGTTGACATCTTGGTGGACATTTTGCTTGTAGAGCTGGTACATCAGTACCACGATGATGGGCAGCTCCTGGAGGACTTTGAGGCTCAGCACAGCTTTGGGTATTAGATAGTAGGCACTCAGCGTGCCGTCTTTGTTTCTAGTCTCCGTTTGGATGATGGTCATGGTGAATGTCTCTTTGAGCAACTCCTCGATGTTCACCTCGCTGAGATCTTTCACCTTGATCGGTGGTCTCGGTTCGAAGATTTTGTTCATGTGGCTTGGTAGATTGGAATAGATAGATTTGACGAACTGAAGGAACTTTAGGATCTCCTCCGTGAAAATTGGTTTGTACTGCTTGTGCAGCTCGATTATGATCTTGAGGCAAACTAGGACGTTTTCTTCATTGTCGATTTCTAGCAGTTTCAGCATCAGCGACAGGATCTGTCTCACATAGGGTCGCAGAGTTTCGTTTGTTGGTAGTCTGTACAGCATCTCTAGGATCAATTTACGGACCTGAAATATCAAATAGACGTTTAAAAAAGATCCGTTCGATGTATCAATCAGGTATATTGGTTTGGAACACTTAGCCCGTAAGCCAGCGACTTTTTTTGAGACCAAAAGCACAAAATCTAAAAATGTTTCCTAGGCTTTATTCAGTATCACTAGTAAGTGCATCGATCTCCAGCTAGCGCACTTTCGGTGGAGGGGGTGTAGTTGCAGCAGTCTCCCAAACTCGACGTTTCAGCTTCAACATGTTGATTATGTCACAAATAGATCAAAAACGTATGCAGTATAATTTAGAGTGGGGGATTATGCCCCAGATTTTCACATCTAGTGAGGAAAACGTGTCCAGCTTTCGTGAAATGACTAACTCTGAACGGTCGCTGGCTCTCAGGCTAACTGGGAAATACTACAAAGTGATAACTTACTTGTTGAAGGTTATATTCAGCAATAAATAGTGGATATCCCTCGTCGAGTATTTTCAAGAAAATATTCACAGAATGGTCCAGGAAGCTCTGGTACAGCGCAGAATTCAGAATCATCTGAAACAAGAAATACCAACATATCCTATGCAACGACCTTTCTTTTCTCACTATACCTCAAAATGCTTGCTGATTTCTTGGGTGGCTTTCAACTTGTGAACGTCCTTGCGATCCGGATCACCTAACATGGTGACGTAACTCTTGAATTGGTTCATCTGAGCCGTATGGGGGTTGACAACCCCCGCCATGCCTGATGATGACGCCTGCATAGCTGTCGAAACGTTATGTTTGCTGGTTTACGGACAGAACCTGGAAAAAAAAGTAAAGCTGATATAAAAAGATGACAGTACTTTTATCACAGTTTGTGCAGTCTTTTCAGCATCTTCGGTATTGACATTTTGCTGCAGGCGAATTTTCAACGAAGAACACTTACTTCAACGTCACCGCAAATATCGATCTTTGTCCTGGAATAGCTGTTTGAAATCTCAGTCGACTTCAGTCCGTTATGGGAATTCCAACGAACCCATCAAAAACTTCTGGCAACTTTCCATCTTTTGAAAGAACTTAGCAATTTGGAGAGTTAGAGTGTGCTGATCGAAAATGGATGACAGAACAATAGATCAAATTTTTGCAGGATCTTTGAATAACTTACCACCTGTCAGTTCGAAAATAGTGAGGATTTTTACCAGTTCCACTTTCACTGGTGAGTATGGAAAGAATATTTGAAACAATTATATTATGGATACTGATAAATGGATAACAATGAAGTTGTCTTGTGTGCCAACTTTAAATTCAAAACTCAATTGAAAAAAACAAATGGTTCGGTCATCTATGCGATTTATATTTGTGTTTGAAACAGAAAATAAAAGAATTGTGCACACGGAAACATTATTTGACGTAAATCCAGTTCAATAATTGTATTAATCTTACGGTTTTTTTAGACACAACTATGGAAAGAAATACACTGATGGCGAAATGTTATCCAAAAATAAAAGACTACTGTAGGGAGAAACACGGACTAGAATTTCAGGTAAAAATGTTGTTTGAAAAATAATGGAATTTAATAGTTTTTCCACCATCAACTATAGAACCTAGTTTTAGTCATTTTATGAATTACTAGTCAACAAAGACATAGTCACCTCTGTTATAATTAATCCGAATTCACTATTCCTATGTGACATAGGCATATCAATAACGACTTGTCATATGCTGTTATCGTGACTATAATTTAATTACAATTGAAAAGAAGTGCTTTTATAGTGACATAGGTCCACATTTCAGTTTCACAGAACTATGAATGATTGAAATATATTGCTAGTGGTGAAAAAAATGTAATATACACCTTGGTAGTAAGGACTATTATTACCATGGGACCTTATACCCCTCTGCTGAAGCCTCGTGATATAATCTTGGTTCCTGGGTAATAATGATATTATTTTCTACCTTGGTGAATAATCAACAAATTCGGACCTAATACACTGACCTATAATAAAAGGAACCTCCTTATATATTTCACTATTTCCACCAATTTTCTCTATGTGGTGAAACAACTTGAAAATCCATTATCGCTATTCTTCGCTTGATATCCTTCGAGTATCATCGATTTTCAATTGAACTTGAAAACTACTATAAATACATGGAAATTCATGCATTTCGCAAAAAATGCCCTTGGCACTGAAGACTGCTGGTACGTACTGGTACAAGATTGACCCAAAAACAATTTGGAAAGAAATTAAATCGATATATGCTGCACTCAACTAGACTAACATCAACCATGGAAAATATACTCATTGTCGAAGATGCAGGGTGTTCATTCTTGGGAACCAAAGAAATGCTAGCATCAGTGAAGAGGTCACCTAGCTGGTATATTCTCACTGTGGTTTTCAAAACCGACATATAGGGTGATTGCATTATGAATACAGGGTGTCCATGTCGTGAAAAATGGGGAAATAGAGTGGGCCAAAATAATGTTAGTACTTTATAGAGAAAATGTTTATCGCACTTCGTTACGGAGTAATTGACCTTGGAGGTTTGGATAAAAAAATTGCATGTATAACTTTTAAACGGTTGCCATGGTATCAACGATACTCGGGCCACTGAATCAACTTATACTAATGCTCCTTTCGACATGTAAACGGCTGTTCAGTGATTTATATATATGCTTTATACTGAACGGACGGTTATTTCCCGTTTAATGACAGAGGCGACAAATTTGACATTTTGCTTCTACCGTTTGATTCCTTCATCTTTTTTCTACAAAAATAGTACACCTTATTTCAATTTATATCTTGTACCGTTCTAGAGAAAATCGCATTGTCGAAGGTTGGTAATAAAAACTATGTATCCAATAACATCATGGTAGTTGCAGTCATTGTCATAATTGACATCAAATTATTTTGACAGCATTTAATACTTTGGTTAGACCATGGATGAGTTTAGTAATAATGAGTATGCACATGTATGGACTTGCAGAAACTTTCTAGGTCAATAACCCCGTAACGAAGCGAGATAGGAATTTCTTTACATGAAGTACTAACAGTATTTTGTCTCACTCTATCAGCACTATAATTCACGACATGACCTTTCCGTAAACCCTGTATAATAAAATATACTATCAAATTATTATTACTATTATTTCACTCTTGATTCTAGGTTGTGGACATGAGATGGGGAGTAAGAGATGAAGCTACAGACGATCACATGACCACGGAACTCTGCATGAAAGAAATCCAGAACTGTCAAAGGTTATCAATGGGTCCCAACTTTGTCGTAAGTATTCATCAACAACCCAAAGACTCCAAAGAGAATTACTTTTAGTTATGTATGAAAACGCTCCTGTCATACTATTATGTTCCTTACTTCCGATCAAAATCTCTTGATTTTATCTTAAGCACGAAGTTTTCCAGTCTGGGCACTGAAGTTACAATTTCGGAATGGTTTTTTCCATTATTCAGGGTGTATATTCACCATTTGAGGTGGTACAAGCCTTCCCGCATGTCCTCCCCTTTGTTTCTTCAAACACCCTGTGTCAAGACACTTTTGCATCAAATTGAAGAACGTTCGCGATATTGAATGATTTCTCAACGGAATAAACAAAATGACGCTACTGCTGCACTTTCGCAACCCTTGCCATAAATCAAAAGCATATAAACAAGTTCATTTTTTCGTATATGTCTATGAATTCTACATCCTCCTAAAAAGTTGCCTCACCATTGGGAACACCCTGTATATAAGAATACGAAATATGATTCATCTTGTATTTATTATTCTGAGGTGATTTCATTCAAATTCACTTATTTTGGTAGAAGAAATATGTGGTGAGATTGACGTTTGAGATTGTACTATTGTATTTTAGGTGTTCTTAGGACAGAAGTACGGATACAGGCCAATACCTACCTACATTTTGACATCGGAATTACTGCTGATAAGAGAAGAGCTAGCAGCTACAGGCCATGATCCTACAATTATAGACACTTGGTACAGAAAAGATGCGAATGCTGTACCTCCAGTCTCTGTTCTCCAACCAATATCATCGATATTAATAAATTTCAACAATAAAGTAAGTCAGAAGAATGCATCATATTTTCTAGAACTAGCATATTACAAATACATTAGCGATCAATAACATATATATATGTTCATACGATACAGAGAATTCCTAAATTACAAGCTGAAGACCAAGCTAAGTGGTGGGACACTCTGGGAAAATTCCAAAAACTGTTCAGAAAAGCAGCTGCTTCTTTGAATCAACAGGGCAAAATGGATAATGACGCTACCCACAATTATTTCATGTCTGGTAAGCTAAGCACACAAAAAAACTCTGTGGTTGGTCAACTAATTCGTCCTGTACGTTTTTTTCGCAGTGACCGAACGTGAGGTAATCAATGGCGTTTTGAACGTGAAAAACACTAAGAATCATTGCTTGGCCTACATCAGATACATCAACAATATCAATCTACAAAACTTGAAGAAGGCTTCCCTGTTCGTAGACATCATCAACAGGAGTCTTGATACAGAATCTGCAAAACTACTGGGCAATCTCAGAGACGAAAGATTGCCATCAAAAATTGAAAGCAGTAACTTACAAAAGTAAGATAAAATATGTCTATGATTACAATTACAATAAGTTGACAATATTTCGTTAGGTTCGTTAGCTGATTGTTGACTCATTTTACTGAAAAATAAAACATTTATTTTCTTCAAACATAAGCACTAATAAACCACCGAACCCGAAGGGAAAATATAGTCGGGAGATTAAGTACAGTACAAAACTCTAATAACACTTCGTATGTATTTCCAGATATACAGTAGAATGGATAGGAAGAGAAGGACTGGATCATGAAACCCACGAAGATTATCTGAAGCACTTCATCACGCATTTCTACAAAAACATAGTCAAACTGGTAGACAGGGCGATGAGGAAAGAAGACTCTAGCGCTCAAGGACAAATAGTAACGGAGATACTACAACACTTGCACGCTTGCAACAACTCTGTAAAGGTACACAATCAATCTATTGGTGAATACTACTTTATATCATTATTTCAAGAGTCAGAATGTAACTGTATTAACCTCGATCAAAATTTTCAACGTTTCACATGATTTGATTTGTTCGAATCGTTTATGCTAGACGCGCATTAGAGTGGCCCCGATACAGATCCATGTGGCACACCTATTGTTCTAGGTGTTCTACGGTAGAGAAGACAGCCTGGAACGCATCCACCAATACATGCTGGACGACTCCGACAAATGTCTCATACTCTACGGAGAGGGAGGATGTGGAAAAACTTCTTTGCTGGCCAAATCGGCAGGAATGTCCACCAGCAACGACTGGTTTGAAGGTGCCAAGCCAATCAGCATCGTCAGATTTTTGGGAACCACGCCCGATTCTTCAGCTTTGACGCCTACTTTGATATCTATCTGTCAACAGGTGATTACAATTCAGACTGTTCTACACACCTCAATACGCTTCTGATTTTCAGATATCTTACAACTTCATGTTACCATTCGACGGTATACCAGACGATTTAGTACCATTGACTGCCCACTTCAAACAACTGATAACTCTTGCTACCAAAGAACAACCTCTTCTTTTGTTCCTGGATTCAGTTGATCAGCTGACTGGCACCCAGGACGCCAACAAAGTGTCATGGCTACCGACCAGACTACCGCGTCATTGTAAGGTAAAGCTCTTCATTCACTAGCCATCTTAGCTAAACAAATAGGGCAGAAAGATACGAGAAGCCTGTAACTAAGCGAAGAACATATTCATGTCTTTGTTTCGCAAATCACATGATCTGCTTTAAAATAATTTGTGGTTATGTCTGTCACTGCTTGTTGAGCGCCCGTACTCTGAATATACCGAAACATTGAGGAACTCTAGCCATCTTCAGCCAATCAACAACTTCAATTTTAGATTTTAGTTTCTTGCGCTTGTGAAGAAACCAATCCAGAGGTATCTAGGGAGTATCACATCCTCAGAAGGATGATAGATGTTGAAGAAAACTTCATAGAAGTGAAGGCCTTAGGAGAAGAATTAGCTATGAAGGTTATCAAGTGAGTTACTTCACACAAAAAATGACAGCCTATAGAATGGCTTCACTTTTCTATAGAATGTGGATGCAAACAGCTCACAGAGACCTCACTAACTACCAGTGGCGTTTAGTATCCAACGCTATCGACAAATGCAGCTTACCGATTTTCGTAAAGCTTGTCTTCGCTGAAATATGTAGGTGGCGGAGTTACACCAAATCCCAGGAAACCCACTTAGCTTCTACAGTTATGGATTCGATCATGATGCTATTCGAAAGAATCGAAAAACAAGTAAGCCCAACGAGAATGTTGAGCGGAATCTGCATTATCGATTTTGATGCAGAGCCCGCTTTGCTCATCTAAAATTTTTTTTAGCATGGTAGAATTCTAGTTTTTCACGCTCTAGCATACATAACAGCGGCCAAAAGTGGCTTGTCTGAATCAGAGTTGGAAGATCTGATTTCTTTGGACGATAAAGTACTCGATGATGTGTATCAGTACCATTTGCCACCGGTCAGAAGAATTCCACCCCTGTTGTGGACAAGGATCAGAAACGATTTGCCGAACTACTTGTCTGAGAGAGAAGCAGATGGCGTCAGTGTCATGAATTGGTACCATAGGTAAAGTTCCTTTCAAAAATATACGATAAAATTGTCAGTATATTATCTGAGATTGATTATTTCCAGACAATTTCGTGATACGGCCAAAGAACGCTACTTCAAAAACATGAATATGGCGACGTACTTTCACTCCATGATAGCAGATTACTTTTTGGGTATTTGGGGAGGCGGCAAACCCAAACCGTTCAAATACACCGAGATCCAAAGACACAGGTGAGATAATTCAACCTACTGATTTGCACATCGGTATTATCGATTGTTTTTTTCATCCAGGTTTAATCTGACGGATAAAGAAGGGGTGGCTGATAGAAAAGTACCGCTACAACCCCTAGTTTTCTATTCCAAGGAAGGAAAAGTGTCTAGGTACAATCTGAGAAAGGTACACTGAAACTTGTCGTCTCCTGTTTTCATTTAATCTACTGAATAACCTACAAATTTCAGTTCGGAGAGTTACCATACCACTTAGTAAGGTCCAGGAGATTCAAGGATTTGTATGACAACGTGTTGTTCAACTACGAATGGCTATATGCTAAGCTGTGCAGTTGTCCCCTTCAAGCACTATTAGCGGACTATGAAGATGCCGGTACCAACATTGAGGACAAAGAATCTAAAAGGTTAGAAATCAAGTGTGAATTTACTTTCATAGTTTGAAAACTACCGCAACTATGTTTGTATTCGCTGAAGTTTATATTTAGGATCCCACTTCTGCCACAAAAACTGATACAATACTCTTTTTTTCCGAACATGGCCACTTTTATCTAATTCTGAGCTGTTTCAGGGAACTTATGCTTGTTGCCGATGCCCTGAGACTTGGAGGAGCAGTTTTGGGACAGTACCCCAACATGTTGGCCCCACAATTGATAGGGAGGCTTTTACCCGAAGTGGCACACAACCCGAACATAAAAATGCTGGTGAACGATTGTGACAGTAAGGGTTCGGTGCACTGTGCTCTACTACCATTGTACCATTGTTTACATACACCCGGAGGCCCATTGAAAGTGAGTACTGATGGTTTTGTTGCAAGTCTAGCTTCTTTTGGTCCATACTTTCAGTATTCTTTGGAAGGACACCAGTTCGCTGTATTTTCAATATGTCTGACGTCAGATTATCGGTATGTGGTATCGATTTCCAATAGATTCATAACGTGGGACTTGTCAACAAGTGACTTGACGAGAGACGTCAACCCGAACATAGAAGGAATAATGCAACACTTGGTATTGAGTCCAGACAATAAGTGGGCCGCGGCTTATACCAACAACAATCAGGTAAGTTCATGTGTAATGAATATAATGTAGTTATAAGAGATCGTTTGTATATTGTCAGTTAAATGTTCAACAAGAATATAAATAGTCACGTCTTTGGAATAGTTTGCAATCGATACACGATCGATCATAATAGGATTTCGATAAGTCTCAAGTATGATTTCCGAAAATTTGTCCCACGGCACACTCCGCTCTTTGACTAGACATCGATGGGACCAACTTCCTTATGAGCTGGCCCACGAAAATTTGGCTCATACCAGGACTAGTCTCCTCCACTTCATCTAGAGCAGATCTCAACTCGTCAAGAGAGCCTATGCATCCACGTTTTTTCTCATACTCATCGAGAACAGTATGGAAAACCTTAGGAACTGAACCTATCGAGTAATCAGCATCAGTCTGTCCTTTGATGGTCATCACCCAGTCCAAACTGTCAAAATCTTTGTCCAACAAGGATTCATCCCCACTTATGCTCTCAGTATCCACATCCTCCGTCCTAGACAGCTTCCACTTCTTGTATCTATCGATGAGGTCAACAAGAAAAGAGTTTTTCTTTGCTTTGCGCACGAACGAGTATCTCAGAAGCTCCTTCGCCGTAGGTCGGTTTTCTGGATCCTTGTTGAGGCAAGCCTCCACTAACTCCCTGAAGGGTCTACTGAAGTCCCCACTTAGCTGCGGAGGATTATTCTGCGGTATCATGAAGAGCACCTTGGTGGGATGCAGGTTAGCATAAGGAGGTTCCCCTTGCGCCAACTCGATAGCCGTGATTCCCAGACTCCAAATATCCGCTTTGAAGTCGTAAGACCCTTGCCGTATGACCTCCGGAGCCATGTAGAACGGCGTACCGACGAAGGTGTTTCTTTTGCTCATGGTGTTGGTCAGTTGGCTAGCCACGCCGAAATCGGCTAGTTTGACGTCTCCGAGTTCGCTTAAGAGCACGTTGGCGGCTTTGATGTCTCTGTGTATGTTGCGCTCGCCGTGCAAATACTCCAGACCTCTGAGTATCCCGCGTAGAACGATCGCTATGTGGGTCTCCTCGAACGTTCCCGCCTGCAGAAGGTCCAGAGCTGAACCGCCTCCTAGATACTCCATCACGATCCACAGTTTGGCGTCTAGCAAGTAGGAGCCGAAGTACTTCGTCACGTAGCGGCTGTCGCATCTAGATAGCACTGTTATTTCTTGCTGCACCACCTCGATTTCTTCATCTGCTTTTTCCAAGTCTATTATTTTTATGGCTACCACTCGGGTGGTGCGGTTGTCTATGGCCTTGAACACTTCTCCGAAGGATCCTTTGCCTATCAGCTCCTGTTTGGTGAAGATGATTTCTGGTTCGAGGTTTTCGCTGGTCGAGTCGGCTGGTGACGGTTCCATGTTGTGTTTTTGTTTCACCTGCAAGGACGACACTATTTCAATTTTCTCTAGGGTTTTCTACAAATTTGCTTCAGCATTCTACATATAAACTATGCTAAGCAACATTTGGATGTCAAACTTCATTGGGCTGAAGCTGAAGTTGTCGATATTATCTGCTTGTTGCGATGTCATAGTCCAAGGTATATTTTCTTATCAATGGGCCTGTTTCGATGAAAAATTTCATTTCATTATTTCGGAAGTACTGTAGCTCTGTACAGTTTTTGGATAATTATTGGAATTAGGGATATGCAATAACATGAAACCGCAGGAAAACAATCCAATATGAGATTCGACTTACGTATCTGTTCTCATTTTCTGTAAGACAAGTGCAAAAATATTTCTGATTGTCATTTTCATCAAAATATGAAATAAATTTTCTGGGCCGAATGCTTACTAAAGATAACGGAGAATACAACACACAACTGAAGAATCAGATAATATAAGGATTATCTTTGAATATTCGCAGTATTTGTTAGATTTGTCCCTGGATTAGACTAGATGATAGGTTTTGAAGATCAAGGTGACAGACGAGGATGACGATAGAGAGTTGGGTTATAATTCTTTTCTTTTCTCGATATTTCTTCGAACTCAAGAATTACGCTGTTGCCAAAGGGACAAAATAGTTTGGGTTTGAATGAAATCTCGATCATCATTAGGAATATTAGGATATTCTTATTGGCATCGACCAGGTGGAACCATTGTCTTCTGTGAATATGAATAGTGTTGTCATTGGTCATATTGAATCTCATAAGGTAATTACTAGTTATAAATTTGGTTATTGAGGAATAAAGACGAATAAATATCACTATTTCCACGTGAGAAGGTGTATGACGTCATCTAGAGCTGGCGTTTTTCGAAGGTGCCGATTTTTAATTATTGAAAAAAGTATTTGTGATAATTTTAAATAACGAATCATGAGATACTATTTATACTTGGAATGATCAATATAAAATAGGTATGTGGTATAACCTCATTTGTAAACCTAACCTTGTGCGATGATTGTTCTTTGTAGTATACAGGCTCCATACAAGATGATGAATATGTGTTTTAATGATATTTATAGACTGTTCTACTGAATATGTTGTCCAGTGAGTTTGTGATCATAGACAACCCTCTGCCAGAAGGATATACCGTTACAGGGATATACCTCCTCAACTATAATTTGTTCATTTTTGGAAACGACAAATGGGCGAGATTCGATATGAGAGGAAACTTAGAAGAAGAATATAACGCACCCTTGGATTTGACAGAGTGGTCGATATTGAGTAAGAGAAAAGACCAATTCTTGTAAATAGTTGTTTTCCAATTTTTCATCGATCATAAATTATTGTTTTTCTCCAAGCGACATAGAAAGTGGTTTTTAACCGACACATAACATGCAGGAAATGTGAACTTTCTCTGTCTAGGCAGGAAAAGTTTGTTGGTATGCAACGTTCCAAGTAATTTGAATGAAAATGGTTATCAAAATTGACACTGACATTGGGTGAACACAAAATGCTGAAGTTTTCAAAGAAAATTGGTTTTATAATATTTGGAGAAAAATGATATGATTCAAATGGCAGCAAATTTAGATTGACTGCCTTGGCTGAATTCCTAGCCTCGCTACTCTTTATTGTTGCCTAGTAAAACAAATAACTATTTTTTGATTGTCAACTTAGGTTTAGATTTGTTTAGATATGGAATATGACAACAAAGCAGAGTACAGAATAATATTTTGGAAAGGAAACTTAGATGACGATAGAATGACCTTGAGTCTACATACCAAAGAAGGAGATTATGAATATCTGGAATATCACAGGTGGGAAATTCAACTTCAATTACATATTTTGAATAACTTTCCTTGTTCAAAACAATAAATGAATTTTTATAAGGTGTGATTGCAAACCGTACTTTTTATCTTATCACACAATGAGGTTGACAATCAGAATCTATTATATCAATAAAAATAGTGAAATTCTGATAATTTAGAATTCTATATTAGAATATCCAACAAAAACTACTCGGAAAATAATGACTTTCCTCCATGATATACAAGATCTTACCAAATGTGTATAATTTTCGGATTTTCTTAAAAAACTTTCCGAGTTTTAGAGTAACAGAAATAGAAATCAACTTCCAATCAAAAAGATTAATGAATAATGCACTTTTTATAGTGGAATGGTTCTGACAAGAAACAAAAACACCCTGTACGCTTGTACCACCCCTGGATTATACATCATCACAAAATACGCTAAATCAGAAGATGAAAAAAAATGGGAAAAAGTTCAAGACTTGCCAAGAACAGTTAACGATGACACTGAACTGATACTGCAACTGAAATTGGACAAAGATGACTTATATCTATTCGGTAATATTGCTATTAGAAAACACGATTTTTATCGATAAAAAGAATCTTATGCGCCAATATGCGGTCTCTTTGAAGATCGCATCAACTTTTTCAGTTTCAATCCGAACTTCTGCATGAAATGAATCACTGTACAGGGTAGCTGGAATTCCAGCCAAAAAGACGAAACATCGGTTTAAAATCTGAGAACAGAAAATGTAGCAATGAGGATATGTAATTTGTTTTTTTCACATATATTCGAATAGAGTAATAAAAAAATAAAAATGATATTGCAAATATTCGGTTTTTTCGAAAATCTTCGAAGCATTAAGAATTTTTTCAATTTCGAAACAGCACTTCATTTTGCATAAAATTGCGCAACTTTTCCATGATATAACCGACTCTTACGGTCAACGAGATCCCAATCTTGGGGCTCGAATTCCTGACACCCACCCTGTTACTTATCGGAAAATAATGACTTTCCAGGCTCTTCTGGTTTTACTGCTTCTCACAGCAAGATATGGAATTTCCCACTTCCAGGAATTAATGAACATTGAATTTTTCACAGGTACAACAAGTAACGGTTTCGTAATATGGGACTTCAACGAAATCAAAATCGATGAAGGGGCTATAAGCCTAACGTTACCATATGGCACAAGAAATATAACAACGAAAATGTTGCAATCCAACTCTATAATACTCAGCGCTCATAAGAACTACGCCATCGCAGGTGTAAGGTATTTATAGTAGTTTATGCAGGTATTCCACAAGGACCAGACTTGGGTCCATTCTCGAACACGATTGATAATTCCACCGGATTTACAGGAAAAACTTGTACGTCTGGAGCATAGAAACAAGGAAGTTAGTGAAAGTACTAGACGCTCATTTTGGCAGGATAATTCAACTCGAGGCCCTTACTATCGGAAACTGGAACAGCATTGTCACTTCTTCTATTGATAGAACTGCCAAAGTCTGGAACATCAATAACATATTCGAAACTGTTCACGTAATAGACAGACATGAACTCCAAGTGGATGCTATAAGGTGAGAGTATAATTATACGTATCCTGCGGAAGATTTTTTGTAAGTCTTTAAGAGTATCGGATGTATTTTGTGAGTATTTGTGAGTCTTTTGAAGTCCTTGAATGCGTTTCGAGTTTTTGGAAGTAATTTAAAGTACATGTTAGCCTTTCATTGTTTTCGTGACTCTTTTCAAATCAGTAGGAGTTATTAGCTGTCCTTGAAAGTTGATTAATTGAAAACCAACTGAAATCAATCAATAGAGATTATTGGAAATGATTTTCAGACAATTGAAGTAATCGCGAAGACAGGTAGTCTTTGAATTTATTTAAAAGTATAATTGAATTATTTGTTATTGGAGTCATCGAATCTTTGATAGCCTTCAAAATGCATTTGATAGTCATAATTCATAATAATCAGGGTAGCCTGGGACTGATTTTTGTACATCTTTAAGAGTATTGGATGGATTTGTAAGATATTGAATGTATTCGTAACTTTCAAATCATCAGGAGTTATCAGAGGTTCTTGGAATTGTTCAAAAGAACAGAAAACAACTGAAATCAATCAAATGAAGTTATTGGATATCTTTCGAAAGTATTTGGATTTTTTTTTGTAATTAGAAGTCACCGCGAAGGCATTGAGGCTATGGGATTCTTTGAATGTATTCAAAAGAATTTTCGAATTATTGGAAGTCATAGCAAAGTCATCGAGTCTTTAAGAGCCTTCAGAATGCATTTGAAATCATGTTTGAAGAAGTAGAATTCATTTATAGTCTTTGGAAGTCTTATGAAATTTTTAGGAAACAATTTGAGATCACTGAGTCTATGTATAGGTACCTAAGATAGGTAAGGTATTTATATGAAAGTATTTTCGAGTCATTGAAAACAATTCGCTTGGTATTTATATGAAAGTATTTTGGAGTCATTGAAAATAATTCGCTTAAGGTTATCGAACGTATTTGGAAGTCATTGAATGTATTTGAAAGTATTTTTAAATTATTGGAAGTCATTGCAAAGTCATCTAGTCTTCGAAAGCCTTTAGAATGCTTTTAAAATATGTTTAAAGCAGTGAACATCATTAGTCTCTGGAAGTCTTATTAAATTTTAGGAAATAATATGAGATCACTGAGTGTTTGTATAAGGTATTCATCAGTAAGTATTTTCAAGTCATTGAAAGGAATTAACTGAAGGTCCTCGAACGTATTTGGTTGTCATTGAATGTCTTTGAAAGTTATTGAATGTCTCTGAAAGTAATTGAATTCCTTTGATAGTCACTCCTAATGAGTCAGAAGTTTTTGAAAATTAATGAAAGTATAATAATAAGTATTTGAAAATCTGTTGAATACGTAGTTTGGTGGTAAATGGGCAGTAATAATAATAAGGTAAAATGAGTGCATTTTCACACCGTATGCTATGATTTACAAGCCTTTCAGACAATTTGAGCTTGGCAGTTACAGCTACGAGAAACTGCGTCGGAGTTTGGGACCTGAGAATAGGCAAATTGGTAGCAAAATTAGCAGACAGCCCTTTAGGAGCCATAGTGACACATGCCATAATCACACCAGACGGAAAGTAAGTCTCAGATACAAAAATATTATCAGCAACATTTCGATTTTCAATATTATTTCCTCTGGAGGTATTTCGAGACCTAGAATGAAATGAAACAAACTTCTTCACATGAACAGATGGACAATTTCAAAATTGATTGTGACATTTTTCAGATACATCATTTCGGCTGAGACAGGCAATATTCTGATATGGCTCCGGCTGACTCAGCAAGTGATTTTCAAAGAAGAGCAGCCTGGCATCAGACAACTGACGCTGATTGATGGCGGAACGAAAATCTTGTCGGTCTCAAAGCCTAGCAACCCTCCTGGAACGGATTTCGTTCGTACCACTGCTACGCTGTGCGTAAGAGAGATACCGGGTGAGTGACATAAATTTACAAGGGTAGATCTAATCTAATACATTTCGTAACTCCCACATCGCGTTGTTCCTACATTTCGATATGCCCACATTTCGTAAGTCCCACATTTCGATACACCCACAGTCTCCAACATACCATACATATTTACCAGAATTCAATGAAACGGCCATTGTGGGCATATCGACACATTGCGTTACACCTATATTTCGTAACACCCACATTGCTTTATGCCCACATTTCGTTACGCCTACATTGCGTTACACCTACATTTCGTTACACCCACATTGCTTGATGCCCACATTTCGTTACGCTTACATTGCGTTACTCCTACATTTCGATATGCCCACATTTCGTAAGTCCCACATTTCGATATTCCCACAGTCTCCGAACATAGAATTAAATTACGAGAAGAAACAAATTTGGAAAGATTGAGATTTTCAATGTTTCACGTTAACTTTTTGGATCCACTTTTCTGCACACCCTGAGAATTATTCAGTGGTTTCGATTATAACCAGTTATCCGTTCTACCTTTAATATTCACGGTTCAATCACTTCATGTCATTAAAAGGTGTAATTCACATGAAAATGGCGTGATAGCTGCATTTGTAATTTTTTCAAGAAAAACTATAATAACTCAGAAGCGGTTCAATTCAGGTATAGGGTAAGATACGTGAACTTGAATTGCAATCATGAGAGGAATTCAAAAATGTCGTGAAATACAGGGTGTCCCATTGAAAATAACAAAGATGACGCCATTTCCTGAGAAACCGGAAGCTTCACAATAACGAGAATATTATAGTCGCCACTCTGTTTTATAAAGTCATTCTATTCATATCTATATGCATACTAGATTAATCGATTACGTCATCGTTTGCCTCCTGAATTGAATTGCTTTAGTTCAAACACACAAAAATTATATGAATCATCATTTCAAGTTATTCATTTCATTTATTCATTCACAGGTGGAAACAAAATTTCTATAAGTTGACTATTACACATCCACATATCAAACAAAACTATGCTGCTATTAAACTGATCGACAAAAATTAAGGATATTGTGTTTTTGCTATGAAGAAACTGTTCTAGAGAAAAAAGGTGATACAGATCTTTGAAAATATCCTTAATTTTTTCGATCAGTTTATATGTAGTTTTCATGAATTCATTAAAACTATTTTTTAGGTGGTGAAATGGTGTACAGTTTCGAATATCCACTAAGAAGTATAACGGGTGTCCCATTCAAACCAGCAGTTGTCACTTCAGATAATCTGCACCTGGTATTAGCTGCGGCAGATAAGACGAACAGAGACTGTGTCTTAGTCTATAACGCCCAAACTGGCTCATTCGTCCATCGAATACCACTCAAAAGTAGTATGATCAAGGTGCATAAATAGTGTCATTCAAAAAGCTGGCATCAAATGAGAAAAACGTTTGATATCAATTCATTTTGAAATTCGACTTGGACGTTGAGTTTTGCTTCAAAGAAGATGGAAATTGTCAAGAATAGTAATTTCTAGTAAAAATATTATGACGTTCATCACGATGTGAAAGTGCTTAGAGAATTTTTTCAATTATTTTATTCCTTCTAGTTATCTCAGAATAAACTCGCAAAGAAATGCTCCCTTTAGAAAACGACGGAAAATCGTCAGCGGTACTGGAATTTTTCTACAGGAAAAATGACCTCATAATATTGTTCTGCATCGTCTATGTAAATTTTTATATGATATCTATGATCTATAAAGGGTTTGAACAGCATATTTGCGAACGTAAATAATTAATTATTCGGAAACGGTGGGTCCAACAAAAAAAATAGTATATTATGTTGTTTTTTCTTTCAACTCATAATTCTCTACCTGCCGGAGATATTGAATGCCAAAATTTGCATTGTACTGACCAATAAATTCGGCCCCCTTCCTTGAAAGTTATTCTGGTGACGCCAATAAAGATAAGTTGTATCAGTTGGGAATGAAATTATCAAGAAAAAGAAATATTCCAAAGACAACTTGTGAAGACAGTTTCAAAAATGACTCATGACAAAAATTTTGTAGCTAGATATAGGTATTTGCTTGACTTGAAGGGAGTGAAAAGTGAAATCATGTTGATCAGACCCGTGGAGCAGTAGCTCTGGCAACACTGCACGTACATAATACAATTACCTACGATTGCATTCAATTGTGTGCCACCTATTGGTGACCTGATGGAACAGACGAGATCGAATAACTCTACAATAGCTGTGAAAGCTGTAATTCAACTATTTTATTCCGATTTCGACATCACACTGACATCTAGAAATAGTTGTTGAACTAGTACATATATATATAGGCTATATTCGACCAGAAAGCTATCGCGAAAGGGCCGCCTTAATTTGAATTCATTATTTTTTCGAGGCAGAAAATTAAAACAATGAAGCAAATCCTGTTAATTCAGAATGAGTTATTTTTTTGCATATGGAGGTTATAAAGTTATAAAGCATGAGGAACAATAATATGAAGTTAGTTTTGCTGCATAAAAATCCTAATATGACTTCACTGGTGATTTCATAAAAAAATTACCACTTTTTATTTCAATAAAAAAGCACAGCACTGTCCTAAATAATGTCCATCTCTGAAAAACTGATCATATTGATGGTTATTCAAATTGGTGCGAATTTGGTAGGAATTGCACAACAAAGGGTGACTTTATAAAAAAACTTTTAGCATTCAAGATTCAACTAAGCTGAAAACTGGTTGGAAATCAAAATTTAGTGTTCTGATAACATTCTATCAATTTATATCCCTAAAATGATACCCACATCCATTATATCTTCACTCACTTCTCCACAATATGTCAAAAGTATTCCTTGCCTAACAGAAACTGGCTCACTCCTAGGATATTTTGCCAAATATGGAGGCAACAGAGTTGAGGTGACATTCTAGTGTATTTTTGAAGAACGGATCAATATCCATATATTTTATCAAAAGAAAACGAATATTCAGGATTAGGATATTTTGAATCAATTTTGAATGGCGGGAAATTGAGATGTAACTTTATGTTGGAATTTTTCCATCTTATTAAATCTTAAATGTGAAATCATAAGTCTTAAATGGTTTTATCTCGGGTTTTATAACATAACAATGATATTTCCATGTTCCATCTGTCATAAGTGATAAACCTTGAAAATTTAGTGATTAATCTTAAATCTTGAAGTTTTTTATGAAGTGGCCCTAATTCGGGATAGAAAATAACACGTCGCCCCATCTGACGGCAGCAACTTGAACACCTCTGAGCGGTTTGTTTTGATGATATGACCAATCAGCACAAACAAAAAACAAATGTAAACCAATGAAAACAAAGTAAACATGCCGCTTTGACAGCTTTCAAGAACTCCGATAGGTGGCGTACGCTTATTTTCTATTGGGAATATCTGAGATCTTGGCTGAGATATAGAGGGGGGAAAGTGGGACATGCTGAATAGTGCATTGTCTTCAGTATTCAAAATGTTGACCCTATTTGATCATTTTTATATTTCTTTTGATTTCCAAGATACATGCAATACAAAATGATCCTTTGTTGCCGTTTAGAATTTATGAATTCTTGCTGGTTTCTACATCTTTATCCTTGTCTTTGTCTTAGAAATATGGGGTGTTCATATACCTTGGAGAATAATTTGTGGAATACTTATTCAATACAGAAAAATCACACTGTCCTTTTTGTAGGATATTGCAGGTTTGGTGGCAATGCCCCACAAAGGCCACCTTATAGCAGTTCTATCCACTGACAAGGGGGCAATCATAGACATCAGATCAAAGAAACACATACGTAGTGTACCCAAATGGGGTGGTTGTATCACCAAAGATGGCAAACATGGTTTGTATGCCCCCTCAAGGTCAGTGTACTCGAGAATACAATTTGACAGAGTTTTCTTAACAAGTTATGTCTGTTTCAGAGGAGGGCTAGAACTAATAGAGCTCAAAAAAGGGCAAACTGTGAAAACTTTCATTCCAAAAGTAGCTGAAGGAGTTTTCTCTATTATATGCCTGTTCAACAAAACTGACGAGTATGTTCTTTACTACCACAGTGGTAAAAAAACATTGAGGGTTTTCCGGTAAGACACCCTTCTGGTGAGAATGCTCAAACCTCAACCAATTATAATTCAACTCTTTCAGTACAAACGATGCAGAAATGATAGCTAATTACAGGGTTCAGGCAGAGCTAACGGCCGTAGAAAGCACCCCAGATGGAAAAGCCCTAGTTTTGGGTACAATTGATGGATGTGTCTCAGTGTTGGCTATTGTGGATACACAAAAAAGTGATATGAACGAGTATTTGGCAGAGATGCCTTCAAGGGACGAAGGAGTAAGTACTCATGAACCTGAGAAACGAATTTAGAGTTATTTCGGTGTCTTGAAAACCACAGTGAATAAGGTAACCTCAAAAGTTCTCAACACAAATATTGCCAGAGTGCAATATATAACAAAGATACGTATATGTACGTACTTACCGAGTTTCTTGTAGTTTCATTCTGAATAGCACACTTTAAAGTTCATGATAATTATTGTCCACATTTTCATTTAAACATTTTAAACAAATTCAACAAGAACATAAACACAACACAAGAGTGAATGTGATTGTGAATGGGTGAATTCACTGTGAATCAAATAGTCACTCTTCTTCTTCCTTTTTTATTTTCAGTTTGAGTGAATTCAGTGTGAATCAGTCATTCTTCCTCCTTTTTTAATTTTCAGTTTGATCTCTGCTAAATGAGCTCCCTGCCGAAAAATCTTCCTCTCATGTCGTTTTCCTGCCCTTAGTTCAGTATGACTCTAACCAACAACCAGCTAAAAAATAATATTACATTTTTTAAATTTAATCTTACTGTTACTATACCTTCTCCAGATGTATTTCAGAAAGCAACAACTGTATTTCAAAATAGTAATTTGAATTTCAGAAAATGTCAATTGTATTTCAGAACAATCACTTGTATTCCAGAAAACGTCGATTGTGATTCAGAATAGTCAATTCAATCTCAGAAAGCGTCGATTGTATTTCAGAAATTAGTCAATTTAATTTCAGAAAACGTCATTTGTATTAGAGAACTATTTCTGAAATTCAAATATTTTCTGAAATACAAATGGCATTTACTGAAATTCAATTGAGTACTTAATATTCTTAAATGCAAATGACTATTCTGAAATACACTTATTAACGCTTTTCCTCAAATTGAATAGACTTTTGAAATACAATCGACCTTTCCTGTTTAATTGACTATTCTAAAATACAATTTGATGCCTTCTGAAATACAAGTGTGATCATTCTGAAACACTACTGAAAAATGTGTAGAAGACGCGGTCTTTTGTTTTTTCTTTAATTAATGATTAATTTTGGTCAATTATTTCGATTTCAGTGGAAGAAGAAAGTCGAAAAAATGCGAGCCCAAACAAGATTCAAAGCTGTTGGGTCCATCGTGAAATTATCAACAATGTTTTCAAACGAAAATAATAACTTGTGTGGGCCTCCTCTGAGTAACATAACTAATGAAAAAGAACAAGAATAGACCAATGCAGTTTATTTCTATGAAACGATATTGTTCGGTTGAGGTCGTTGTCGGAATAAAAAAGTTCTAGTTTTTGTTTCAATTTTTATTCGCACATAAGTAGATTGGACAACAAAACATAACCGCGTCGACTTAAATAAATAAAAACATAAATAAATATACTGATGATGTTTTAATACATTAGAGTGCATATACATCAAATCACATTCGAGCTAAATTTTCCATCGAATATAAGAAAATCACACTGTATAGCTTACTAACTGCCGCAACTGGCCTATTACAACGAAAACCCCATAAATTTCCACACTCAACATTTATATATTTTTTTATTATGAAACATAGATACCTAAAATACATTTACTTTGTTCAGTACTTTGAAGAACTTCAGACTTGATTTATCCAGTTTTGGCATGTGTATAAATTTCTGAAAAACAGAAGTGGCACTGCTAGAAAGAACTTTTTTCACAACTATCTATAATATGCTGTTTCAAATAAATGTTCAGATCTTCATTGAATCTTTAAACATGATAAAAAATAGTCAAAGAAGTCATTTCTAGCAGTACCTACATTGTACCTTATCAATGAAAGCAAAGAAAAGTCCATTGCACTGTAAAACCGGTAAAGCAAGCTTTGGAAAGACAATCGAAAAACCGTTTGGTTTGGGGGTCGCAATATCGTCACTTCATTCCACGCAAATTCACGTCAATTCAATCACAAACTTGAATATTTCAATCATCAGATGGCGCCAGCTTACAGCCAAATGTTAGACCACTTGTCATCTTCATTTCACGATTCATTCAAATTCCCCTGATTTTATCTGCAAATGTTTGATGACATAGATCTGATGGTTAAGTGATCGACGGAGTTGAGTAAATAAATCTCAAATAATGCTAATAATGAAGTAATTTCTCGGAAAATAGAATAGATGAAAAAAAATGGATAATGAAAGGATGTCGAGAATGACATTATATAGGTCTCGTGTACATGTGTCAGATGACCGACCCTGGAGGTAAAGTAACCTCACTTCTTGGGTTTGTTTACAAGTTATTGAAATAATTTTTCACAATGATTATTTTGGCATACGAATGGTTTTTTTTTTTCATCAATTCAAGCATGCCATCACATTGTGCTGATTTACAATGCGCAAAAATACAGTGAAAGATGAAGACTTTTCAGGAAAATTGTGATCTAGAAGTAATGTAATCACTAACATAGTTTTCAATTGAAACTTTTATCTGCCGTCTGCCACATCTGCAATAGAAGCTAATACTTCTAATTGAGTGAAAATGTAACACACACGACCATATTTAGTCAGCATGTCAGACCAGTCCTCCCGTTTGACAGCGCTTGAATACACTTGGCCTCATTTTAGAAACTTCACAAGTCTTTCTATTAGCTGTTATTGCAGAAGAAATCTGAAGAGGAATGACACAATTTCAAAATGAAAGCTGTGTGAGTAACTACCGGAGCTATTATTCACCTATCTCTTACTTCAATCCTATGTGAACAAATAAGAAAAGAGAGGTTGTTTTACTATTAGAGGTATTCCAGGTCTCCGTATTTTCTTCCCAAATCAAACTATAATGCATACACTATTATTCATGGATTATTCTGCTGCTGGTCAATATTAAGGAGGAAAAGTATAAGTATTAAGTATTATACTCGTAAAAAATATTACTTTGTAAATCTGTAGAACCCTGTATATCTGAAAAAATAGCGATTCTGGACCACTGTAATGGGCCCTCCTGAATGCAATTTTGATTTGGTAAAAGAAAGAGCATTTTGTGATTCTGTACATCACAATCAGTATTTATTCAAAGTGTTTTCAAATATGAGACATTTGACAAGAAATCATTTTGATAAAAATTGCAATATAAACGAAGATAATATCAACTGTTTCAGTTTCTATTGTGTTTGCTAATAATAGCAACAACATTTCATCTTGGAATAAACGTATCGACATTGACAACACCTTGTAAACAGCGATAAACAATTCAGTTCCGTAATCTCTGCACCCATCAATTCACACTACAAAGATTTCCTTAGTTTTTGACACTCAAAGCTCTGGATTACATTTTTATTAAATATGAGTTGATATTAACACACTTTTCAAAAATTGTACTATTGGATGTTTGCATTCTACAACACCTATTTTCAATAACATTATTTCATATCGCTATATTTCATCACTCGATAGTTACCGTTGAATGTGTGGAAACGACTCAATTACATCAGGTATCTAGATATACTTAGATCGTTTCAGAGTGATTTTTTTCACTATGAAAATGCCATTTGGAATCTCGCGCATTTATTCGGAAGCATTTTAGTTGTGCTCGAAGTTTCTCAAATTGTTATTGTTAGACACAGACTTTTTCAGAACCTTAGTGGCACCTACCAACATCAAGTAGAACCAGTAGATTTGAGGTAACAATAAAATTGCTATGCTTATGAGACAACCTCTCGGAAGAGTATGGAGTGCCTGTAAAAAAATTATGATAAACAATATCATCAGTATTCATAGTAGGCAAATTTTGACCATCATCTGATAAAGAAATGTTGTTTGTTTCAAAGACATGTAAAAACATTGTATTTTATCGAACGGCATCTGTGCCAATCACTATCCCGAGCAAAATGATTGAAATGGCACTTAACTGTGCGAAAATTTGCACTCAATTTCGCGTTTTGATAACGAAATAAGAATAATTATGCCTTCCGGTACCAATTGAATAATAGATCTCAAAATGTTACCTGTTTCACCACTTAATCTGAGTTGAATCCACGGCATTTGCTGCCATTAGTCCGGACATACTTCCGTCATGTGATAACGAGTTGAAACAAGAAGTGAATAAGAGGGGATAAAATCCACTTTGCGAGTATCCTTTTAGAAAGATAATATCCGATGGACCAATAATAAGTGGGTTTGAATACTTGCAGTGTGAGCACCACATGAGTTCAACACTGGTCCATCGGATATTATTTTTCGACAGGGGCGAAATATTCTCGGAAAAATTGATGCTCTGCCACTAACTTAGATCAGTTTGAATCGCAGCACGTTTGGATCTACGAAAAAGGCGCATTATCCCCTTTTATTCGATTTTTGTTTCAACTTGTTATCACATGACGAATGTATGTCCGCAATAACGCATTCAAATCGAATGACATAATTCTTACCTCGTTATCAAATTGCGAAATTGAATGCAACTTAGCGCACAGGAAAGTGCAATTTATCAATAATTTCTGCTGAGGGACCGGTGCCGTTAGATAAGATACAATGTTTTTACATTACTTTGAAACATAATTATATCATTTCATTATCAGATGACAGTTGCAATTTGCAGCCGACTCTTGGACTATCAAGGTGATTTACCTAATGTTGCGAGTATTTTTGGAGTGGCCACAATCCGCGAAATATCCATGAACTGCAAATTATGTCATTATCAATATTCCTACTAATTGAAATCAATGTTCAACGAGGATTAGAGCAATCTGTCCCGGCAGAGTACGTAGTTATCTGCTCGGTTATTTGGTATAACGGTATCCTTAGTAACGAATAATCATCACACATTACGACAGATTGCTTTCAAATTTACAAGGCATTTTCTCAAATTGAAGACACACACATGTTTTTCAATCGCAATCTTAGGTTAATCAGCCTGTATCCCTACGTTACTGTACTGCGCATGTGATATTGTTGTCATAACTCACCGATATGAAGTCGACCTTAATGGACTTGGAATACAAGTGTATGACGTAGGGGAACATGGCTATTCTGCACACGAAAAATGCCGCCAACATCATGAGACCGTTGATGACGTAGATGGGGGTGTTCTTCAATCCGATTTTCGATAGGATACCTCGCAGCGATACAAAAGGCGTGCTGGCTTCCATCAGGTAGATGAAACCGAAGAAACAGTCTCCAAGGCCACCTCTCAAAGACTACCAAAAACATGTTTCATATCAATCATTTTATTCAAATAAACTGTTCGACTAGGACTAGTAGGTAGAAGAAATATACACCAGTTATGAAGAATTGGCGCCCCACGTGGGGCCACAATGGATGAAAGTGAAATAAATGATGAACCCAGGTAATTATGCTGAATCTTTGGCAACCAACGTAGAATCTACAAGAACTTCCATGTGAAAATGAACACGTATGGAAACATAGATGATATGTTTGCTTCAGCTTCAGAACAGTAGAATACACCGAATATTTCTTTCAAATAACTTCTTTTAGAAAGCTGAGTAGACCTCTACAATCAAATTTCATCAAAAAAGAGGCATTAGAGTAATCAAACTTCCATAATTTTGCTTCTAAATGCTTTTACAATGATGAGGTTATTAGGTTGATAACTTGATGTGAAGTCTCCTATTGGCAAGTCACTGTTTCGATAAAGAAATTGCCTAATAGTGGTTTTTCACCATACAAGTAAGCTTTGAAAATATTTCAGATTAGCCCACTCGTTCGAAAATCGGTCGACAAATTCCAAATTAGGAGGGTGTTGCGGGTATAAATCGCACACACTCTCAGAAATTTTAACCATATCGCCCGGTTGCGGGGACAAAATATTATAAAAATGAGTCATGGGGGAAGCTCATTTCTCAAGACTAAATTTGATGAAAAAATGGATATACTCCGCTCATTCGTCCGCGCTTACCGCCCCATTGAACTGACTTACTATCAGGTCGCGCTTCGCCTTGTACACCTCGTACATCGACCTGATGTCAAAGGTCATTATAAAGATGACCCGCCCATTCGGCTCTTCCTCGCACACACTTCTGTTATTTGTATTGGTGCCGAAATAACAATCAATGAAATAATCAGGACCAGTTAGATTGCACCGAGCAAATACTTTCGGGATGACCAGAAACCGGAAACCACCGATGAACACGTGATGGCCCACTATGATTTGTCGGTCGAAGGTCATTATAAAAATGAAAAGAATGAGTCGATGGAACCCTCATTTCTTGAGATTGAATTTAATGAGACAATAAAAGAAAGAAACGAAATGTTCAAATGGGCAAAAGTGAAGTATGTTTTATGGGCATTCACAGTCTAGTACCAGAAAATGCAAAAAAGCATCGTGAACCTGGACATTTTACATAAACTGGTGTTTTTTAAATGACACATCTTGTATATTATTTTTCTGAACGAAAGAGCTCGTTCTTCTGATTTTAAATATATTCATTTTATTGATGTTATCTATTGTCAGTTTTTGGAAAATACAGGTTCTAAGGCAGCCTCAGCCAGAACTCCAAGTAGTACTACTACTAGATTCTGAATGACCATGAAGAATAATACTTCACTTTTGCCCGCTTGAACTTTTCTCTAGGACCAATATCAACTGGGATAACTATTGAGTGAACAGTCACCCTGTACATACTCGTCTCCGCCCACTCTCCTGCTGTTCGTATCGGTGCTGAACCAACCAAATTCAATGAAATAATCAGGACATTTGAAGCATTGACCCGAGCAAATACTTACGGTGATGACAAGAAACCCGAAACCACCGATGAACACGTGATGGCCCACTATAACGGCGTTATCGACCAGATACTCCGCCCACTTGGTCGCTCGCTCCGCCCACCCGTCCCCGCCTACCGCCCTATTGAACCGCCCGCCAATCAGGTCGCGCTTCGCCGTGTACACCTCGTACATCGACCAGATGTCGTAGGCGAAGTAGGCGGCACCGAACCAGCCGTACGCCTCCGAGATGTAGTGGGACGTTTTGAGGATGTTGCGGCTGCAGGAGTAGCAAATCGAGGTAAGGCCGGTGAGGCAGCAGAAGAGGGCTTGCACGGCCGATACTTGTCTGGAAAAGAAATATTACTAATGAATAGCCGAGGATATTTTTATTGAAAATTTCACACCCAACATGATCTACCATAGCAACTAAACTAAATTTCCATAAATTGTTTGCTCCCCCTTAGGGTAATGAGAATGACATTACACTGGAAATTATTTGACGTTTATAGGTGGAATTGAGCTACTATTATCTTTTATTATTTTTTATTAGTTTGCCACCGAACGCTATGTGTGAACGTTCCATGAAATTGTAAGTTATTCAAATAGTGCTTTTAAAAGTATTACAGCAAATTTTATCAAGAAATGTATACATACATATAATGTCAATACTATGTTTCAGTTATATTTTGATTTTATTCACCCATTTGTATTCTTGTCTATTAGTTGTTGGCGCCCAACGTGGGGCATCAACAACTTGAAAACACCATATTTAATCAAAACATTGATGCATAAATATTATGTTGCTACTATAGTTCAATTATATGCACATTTGAATTGAATTGAACCGTTTGTGTTCTTGTCTGTTAGTTGTTGACGCCCAACGTGGGGCGTTGATAAACCATTTCAAAATCAAACAGCTGTTACAGTTATTAACGTTACAAGGCCGATATGTAACAAATAACGGATGAGGTTAAATATTGTAATCCGAGGCGGTCAAGACTTTTCGTAATCTCGCTGAAAGATTATATTTTGATGTCGAGGAAAAAATAAACCACGTACTTCGTAATTCTACAGAAAAATCCCAACATCGTGTTGTTATGGAACAGTTAGCGGCCACCGGCCGTTAAACAAATCTCAACGCAGGGAGGCTGTTAACAATAACTTTTCAATGTCATCTGAATTCTGTTAAATCAAAATAACAGTATCACGGGATTACGAAGAAAATTGATTCTTAAGGGCCGGTTGCATGGAGGATTCGACAGACGATTATATATTCAATTTGCTTATATCCATGGCAACGTGTCCCTTAGCTGACGAAGCTAAGAGAATTGATCCTTTGTTAAATTAACAGAGCTTTATGTAACTGGCCCTTTGTATCCCGAGTTGGCATCATTTCACTCACTTTCTTGCCTATTAGTTGTTGGCGCCCAACGTGGGGCGAGATAGACCGTTTCAAAATCAAACTGTTAAAAATCAATTCTCAAGTATCTGAAGTTGGAATTATTTCACTCACTTATTACTGATATCATAGATATCACTAGATTCAAGCTTATATCTCTTGACGATTTTTCGACCAGTGGTGGTGTGGAGGAAAAGAGTGTTTATGGTAAGGTACAAGCAAGTGAAGAATAGCAGCCCGCTAACGAACAGCAACAAACCGCGACGAATGGAAATGTGTTCTTCCCAGTCCAGATCAATCACTGTCAGTATTGAAATCAGCAGGGACAGTCCTGCTAGAATCAAGTAGGTAGTAACAAAGGCTGTCTTTTTTTGCTAAAAAAAAAAGATGAGAATATAAAATATAATTACAATGAGAAAATAGTTATTTGTTTAACTAGGCAGCAAAGTAGTAGATTGACTGCCGAGGCTGCTCGCTACGCTCGGCTATGAATTCAGCTTAGGCAGTCAATCTACTTTGCAGCCGAGTTGAACATATAATTTTTTCTCCGATTGTTCATAATGACATAGGAGGATATTGTAATTTCAAATTATTACAATTCCCACAATCTCTTTATTTTTCCTGTTGTTCAATTAAAATGAAATTTGATAGAAATCGCAGTTGTTCATGATAATTATAGTTTGACAATTCATGAAAATTCTGACAGTTGTGCGAACAAATATCGGTATATTTAAATTATTATATAATGGACAGTGATAGCGACCTGGAAGTACTTACACCTCCAGAAATAAGGTAGATGACAAAAAAATATAGATTTCAATTTGTTGCCGGAGAAGTCTCGAATGAAATATGAATGGAATCATAAACAATTCATGGAATATTGATTTTGCTGCTACATATCAATCCTGCCTAGGCAGGAAAAGTAATACTTTGCTGATTGATATGTGTCAGCAAAATTAATATTTGCTGCCAATCGGAGAAAAAATAATATGTTTTGATTTGTATAGAAGAAGTAATTTCCAGTATATAGAACCTCACTAAATCTTCAATTCATAATTATTATTGAAAATTACTACAGAGGTTGTTGTAGAAGGTGTTGTATTGGAAACTTCAAAACAAAATCGTGAATCAGATGTTGTTCTCTTTCGAATGGTGCCCTCCAAACATTACTTCTCCATTCCATGTCCTATTTGACAGTCCATAATCATACGTTTTCTCTGATTGAATCAATCGGCAAATAATTCTGTTAGATAAGTTTGCAATAAGCGCGAAACATTGAATTGCTTTCGGATTTATTCTGGTAGTATGGAGGGAGTGAAAATGTTAATCTTTGTCAAATATATTCCCATATTTTATTGTATATTTTGAACGAGTGATTTTTGTTGATTTCATACATTCCATTGAGTAATATACTGGGGTGAATCGCAGGAATGAAACTTGAGATTGATAGAAATGTTTGTCATCAAATCATCTAATTCAACTAATGTCAGCAGAAACCAGGAGATTATCAAAAATATCGATTGTCAGTTGACCTGACAGCAAACTTGAATACAATTAGATAATTTTGCAAGCACAATTTCAACCAATTTCAAGTTATAATCCTTCGATTCACCCAGTATTGCTCCATGGAATGTATGAAAACTATATATTTTGGAAATCAGCAAAAATCACTCTTTTAAAATATACAATGAAATATAGGGTATTCCATTGAAAAAACAAAAAAAAAACATTTTCACATCCCCCGTATATGGAATGGAGAAATAATATTTGGGGGTCACCATTCAAAAGAGAACAACACCTGATTCAAGATTTTGTTTTTAAGTTTCTAATATGCTATCTATTTTTCGAGATATTCAGTGTTTAAAGCGTGAAATCCATATTCAACCACCCTGTACATAAAAAACTTAATATTCCAGTTGCTTCAACATCGCCTTTATCGAAAATATACCTTTATATTCATAACACAATTTCAATAGGCATGTTTACTCATACATAACAGTTTGTAATTGATATGATAAAAGGAATATTCTCAGATAAATTGTAATCATAAAAAATTTGATATACACGTATGAAGAAATACATTGAGAATTCACATTCTCTATATGATAAACATTGATAGTGGCTGGCAATTATTTGATTGAATCAAGTTTGTTATGTAATTAGAAATATTTATCATCTAGTGGTTTTGAGCAACTGCTTCTTCACATTATTATTTTCATTATAATGTATGATCCATTAGGTACCTAAAATAGAGATAAGTATTGCAAATATTTATTGTGCAATCACATATTATCATGAAGAAAAAAGATTAGGGTTTAAAACAGATGAAGTGTTACACAATTATCTAGCCATCAATTTCACTGGCATAATAATTATTTTGGATAATTTTTCAGAAACATAGGAATAAAAACATGAAACTAATTACATTCAAATTACAAATAAATGTAGGTACTTACACCAGACATTGTGAGATTGGATTCAATCACAGGTAATTAAAAAGCATTTCATGTTTATTTGAGAGGTTTGAACAATAAAAAGCAAGCAATATAAAAACAATGACTTATGATAAATTCAATTCTCTTCAATTTTACCATGGAATGGTTTTGCATTGAATTGAATTAGGTATATATAAATATTTAATTTGAACATTAATACATAGTATTTCATGATAAAGGTTTATACTTTTAACAAAAACAACAACACATACTTTAGACTCAAATCGAGGAATAATTTGATACATGAGACTACAAAGCGTGTGATCATCACATGAGTCTTTTCAAATCGGCCAACTACATCAATGATTGTAAAACAAAACTCTAAACAACTTCCTTTATACAGTACATTTATCAATAAAGAACAATCTCAAACGGGAGATGTATACGTTCAACCACATTAGATAATCATTGAGGCTGTCATTATTCATAATCATTTGTACTTAATATTTATTGTATAAATTTCCACTGGTCAAGGTTTGAAAGAAAAATATAGGTAGGACTCACCTCTTTCTTGACATTGTCTGTAACCTGTATCTTCGGTTTCATTTTATTTTACTATAACGTGACGAATACCTATACAAAAGTAGAATACTACTCAAATACACAGATCAACATAATTTTGCCAATTGGAATTCAGTCTCAAATATGTTTCGGTCCATTTTGGATTTGGAACAATTTAAAGGTTAGGATTTAGGAAGAGGAAAGGGATCTGTCTTCTGTCTGACGTTGACAGCTAGATATCTGACGTAATCTTCGTTGATGATATCGAACTTTTACCCTAACGTCATTAGCCAGTTTAGTTGAAAAATCTTCAAAAATTACCTTCCATTATAATCTCATCAAATTAATGAATCTACCATAAAACTCAGGAACAAGCAGAATTTCAACAATAATAACTAGTATCGACCGCATTCCGCATTATTCCATTATTCACACACCTCTAACTCAATATGTCTAAAGATCCGCAGGACGTATATCACAGTGTCAACGTGCCAAACAAGCGTTCCTGAGAATCGAAAGTATTCAATTTTTCTGTGAATTAATGGCTGAATCACAAACTATAGAACATTTTTTTGGAGTTTACCTTTTATACTGCCTCAACCCCAAGCACAAAGGCCTAACTTACATAGGATACACTGTAGACCCCAATAGAAGGATAATACAACACAACAAAGGAACAAAGTATGGCGGTGCTAGGAGAACCAGTAGAAGAGGACCATGGTCTGTCTTATTGAATTATTTTTATTTCAGTATTTCAGGCAGATTGATGTTTTAGGTCGATGGTTATAATTGTGCATGGATTTCCCAATGATATATCAGCATTGAGGGTCAGTACCCATATAGGTATAGATTATATGTTGTTATTATAATAATAGGGTGATGCAATGAAATCGATCTTCTTTCAGTTTGAATGGGCTTGGCAACATCCTGGCGTTTCCAGACGACTGAAACATGTTTCACAGAAAAAGAAGACAGAAACTTATTTTGATTTTGCCCTGAGAGTTTTATCAGAGATGCTACGAGTAGGGCCATGGTGTAGATTGCCTCTTACTATCAGGTGGCTAAATCAAGAATTCGTAAAAGATTTCCCAGTAGGTGTTCCTATGTAAACTATACAGGGTGCTCTATAATTTATAGATGAAAAGAAGTGGGGTCGCGATGGGGGGAAAGGGGTCATGTCCATATGTGATTATCCAATTATTGTTGATGGTTCAAAAGTTACCTAGCCAATTTCATTCTATTTCTTGTAGTTCGTTTACTAAAAAAATATTTCAATAAACCATGAGGCAACATTTCATTGTAAATTTCATAAAAAATCTGGGAAGGGTCTCATACATTTTTCGGAATCGGCTAAAAAAAATCACCAATTTTCTACTGAGCGGCGGCATAAATTAACAAAAGGACAATTCCGATTATGTAGTAAGACACATTGTGGACATTTTTAGCACTCCATGTTATACCGTTTTGGAATCTGTGAAAAATGGGCAACTCTTTCTCTGATAGTTATTGGTCCTCGATCTTTGTGGGGGTAGTTTGCAAATCTGCCATTAAAAAATCAACTCATTCAAAAAAATTGATCTTGGATTGTATGTATGTATGTATATGTGGGCGGCATAGAAATCATATATACTACGTGGGCGGTCCGGGACCTGAAGCACTTTGTGCACCCACATTCCTAGGATCGCAAGTCGGCCATGGAGAAGGCCGATTTCGCGAGCAAAAGAGACCAACTTTCTAGGCCAAATCTTTTCAACATCCTCTGGGTCCAGGATACTGCTCCCAAAATGGATATCCCTTGCTGCCACTACTGTTGGGCATTTAGTGAGGATGTGAGTAGAAGTCTCTTCATCCTCTAGGCACCATCTGCATTCAGGATCCTCCACAATCCCGATCGTGCTGAGATGTTTGTTCAAATGGCAGTGCCCTGTCAGAAGGCGCACCACCAGTTTCAGCTCCTTCCTGTTCAAAGCCAAGAGGGCATTGGTCTGTCTTCGTGATGGGTTTCCTATATTGTGTTTGGACTGCCTCATTCCAGGAGCCTCCCTCCAGCTGTCCTGAAACCTTTCCGTCAGGATTTCCTTCATCCTGAAGTTGCTCCAGGATCGAGTGACCCCTAAGATTGGCTCTGGGCCAATCACTGAACCCTTCGCCCCCTTTCTGGCCAGACCATCGGCCGTTTCGTTACCTGATACCCCTGAGTGTCCTGGGACCAACAAAAGACATACTTTGTTCGTTGCTGACAGCCTTTTTAGGCTATCTATGCACTCTGACACCAAGGCGGAGGTCATACCCTATACGAGGTGAGCGCCTTGATCGCCGCCTGGCCGTCAGTGCATATAGTGATTTGCTGGCTGTGGATCTTGGATTACATTATTCTTAGTAGGAAATAAAACAGGTCAAAAAAATAATTTCTTGGGAAAGATGCATCCATCGTGGGGACAAAATTTGTAAAAAAATCACAAAAATGTGATATACCTAGTTCTATTTGTAACTGATTTTTTAGTGAACAAATTACGATGAGGAAGTAGGTAAGTCAAAAAGTGGAATAACTTTTGAACCATTAACAATAATTGGATAACCACATATTCGTTTATTTCAATTGTAAATGACCCACCTACCGCCCCACTTCTTTTGACCCATGACTTATAGGACCCTGTATAATATAAGCTCAATATGACGTTTTTCAGACTCGGAATCTACCTCCAATGCATATGCCAATCTGCCATGGAAATGTAATCAGCAAGAAATTATCCAAAAACTCCCAAGAAGTGATTTCCTTCAGAAGTACTTGTACCATATGTCTGGAATTATTAGAAGAAAAGCAGATGAAATGCTTGAACAGTAGCTGTGATCTTAATAGTCATATAATTTGTTTGTCCAAATATTTTATAGAGGAAGGAGAGTATGTACCCCTAGAAGGAAAATGCCCCAGATGTCAAATGACATTTTTGTGGGGTGATTTAGTAAGAAAATACAAGGGATGTTATAATAATCTAGATGTTGAGATAAATGTTGATGTAGCCTGAATGACATTTTTTAACAGTGTCAGCAGTGTCTGAAAAACGAACGCCGGTAAACAACTTTTTGATGCTGTAACCATTAATATTTTATTAATTTTATATACCTAAAATAGAAAACATGAAGCCAATGACGTTTTTTTGAACATTCAAAAGTTTCAAATTCATGATATTATTATTATGATTAGGAATGAGATATTGAGAAGGTTAAAAACAAACGCTGCTCTTGAAAACAATTAAAATATTATTAAGTAAATATAAATAACTTCCAAACCCACTTCAGTAGGTAAAACAGTTTACATTGACAAAAAATCATATATGAAAAAACAATATGAATAAAATTTATTAAAATCAACAAAACATAAATACAAAAACACGCACAACTGATATTTTTTAAACGGTGATATAAATCTATAAATTTCCTTAGTCTAAATATGATTTTCATGAGATTGAAAAAAATTACAACAATAAAAGGATACATCCAAAAAGGCAGCTTGGAATGTAGTCAGTTTCCATGTTAAACATAATCAGTATGACATTTTTATGATACAATAATAATTATTCATCTCAGTCAGACTTGTTCTATGTATAACATATTCAAGTCTAGACCGGCAAATTTGAAAAAACCCCAGATTTTTTTGAATCTATAGTTTCATTATTTCATTTCAACTTAAATGCAAGAGAACATCAATAACTATAGATTCCAAAAACTTTTTATGAATTCAAACTAATATGCCTTAGTACGGCTAAAATACTAGCATACTCAAAAATATACCTACTTTGTTTCCTTTTGCCTTTAAATTGCAACTTATAACGCTCAACCATAAAAAAAGACCCAACACAATAAAGTTATTCTTAGGGCCATATCTTGTTGAACACTTCCATGAAACTGTCATATATCATGAACGTAATGGCAACGTCGAGACAAACCCTACTCAGCCTTGGTACTGTGCCCTTATAGAAAGCCATAGGGCCTTCATTTTTCCAAATTTGCGTGGCACAGTGTAGTGTATTTTTGTATTTGGACGCTTCCAAGCCCTGCATGCGGGTTTTCACAACATCTATTGGCGTATTTCCAAACACAGAGGCAGCACCTTGAGAACAATTCAATTTCATTATTTCATACGGAAAGTTACATAATATTATGGTTAGAGGGGTGAGATTGATTTTTTTCTTACCTGCAAAAGCTCCAAAAGCTCCAACCACCATCTTAGGAACTTTCTTATCCTTGTCTCCACCCTTATACAAGTCTTTCAGGGATTCCATCACGAAGAATCTGATGGCCTGGTTGGATCCCTGTTTCATTATGGTCGCCGACAGACCCTTATACACCCCACCAATTCCTAACAAAATAAGGAAATATCCCAATAAACATTTCCAGAAAAAAAAAAGATCAGGGATTGACTATATTATGATTCTATGCGAAAATGAATGATAATTAAGTAATCTATGCATCCAGAATTACTTAGATCATACAGGATCTTGCTTCACTCACATGGACTGCATGTATAGTACGTCCAAACACACGCCAACATTGTGAACGATGAAATATATTCGCATCCTTTACATTACAGGGATTTCCTTTCGGGCGCTAAAAGCGATAGAAATAGAATTATTCTTCAAGATCTGGAAAGGACATCTTATCTTTTTCATAGGTAGAAAGATCTTTCTGTTTTTCTAAAAACTGAAATGCTAAGATGCAGTGGATTCACTTCTGTAGACTAGAAGATTGTGAGGTATTCATCTGCGACAAAGCATCTCATTCTGGATGATTTTAGGGACAACAAAACTGAAAGAGTTCTTCGAGTGTTTTTAATTCTGTATAGATAAGGGAAGTTTATTCCAAATGTTGTTATTAGAACAATTCTTTACGGATCGCTTTTGTTTCAATTGAAAAAATATAGGTCGCGTGCACGGTGACCGACCCTGGAGGTAAAATATTGAAACAAAACCTCACTCTTCTGTACTGTGGAACATTGAAACACAACCTAATTTTATCTGCAGAGGAATCAAAGGATTGAAATAGTTTTTCACAATATCATTTTGGCATACGAATCGTGTTTTTGCGCTATTCATTAATTTAACCCTGCCTTCTCATTGTGCTGTTGTACAATGCACAAAAAATGCAGCGAGAGACGAGGACATATAATTTTTCAGGTAAATAGTAATCTCACATAGTTTTCATTACGAAATTTTGTCATGTCTTATTAAAATGCCTTCTGTCACTTCTACAATAGAAGCTAATACTGCTAAAAGATTGAAAATGTCTACAACACACACGATTATATTTCGTCAGCATGTCAGACCAGTCCTTTCGTTTGATTGCATGAATCCAATCTTCTTTCATTCTTTTAGTAATTTCAGGAGTATTTATATTAGCTCCTATTGCAGAAGGAATTCCGATGAGAAATCAGAGAAATTACCAAATTACAAAATGAAAACTATATGTGAGTGACTATAGTATGTACTTACTTTTAAATCATAATGTACCAACCGGATTCCTTCGTCTCCCGCTGCATTTTTTGTGCATTGTACAACAGCACAATGTGATGGCATCCTTGAATGAATGAATAGCCGAAAGATACGATTCGTATGCCAAAATAATGGTGAAAAACTATTTCAATCACTTGTAAACAAATAAGAAAACTGAGGTTGTGTTTCATTGTTTCACCTCCAGGGTTGGTCATCTGACAGTTCTTGCACGCAATCCATTGTATTTTATCAATGAATCATCTACATCGTATGGAATTTGCAGTAATCTCAGTACTCTTATTATTAATCCACAAAATCCGCATACTCGTTTTTTCTTCAGTGAAGTAGAGTGATTGCAACTATTGGATTTCAAAATCATCGCCTTTTATTATTATCCCACTGTGAAATGCTGCCTTGCGCAGTAACGATTTTGGTCTCATTGAGGAATGCAAATATATTACCCTCTTCGTTTAATGCTGGTGTATTTTCCAAACAGTGAGATCCCGAATGGTCTAAGCAGGATCACCTACTTTTGATTAACGTCATAAATAACAAAATATTCACTGAGAAACAAAGGGGTCGGTCATATTCGGCATTCGTATCAATAGAGCAAGTTCTATCATTTTCAGTGAACTCAAGTGGGATATATACGTTTTGTATATCGCTACTTCGAAGTTGGGAACCAACTCCCCAGAAGTCGAAACTTGTTAGGGGTCAGGAAGAGCGGGCCCTACAGCTCACAGTGGGATTTAAACCACTTCTAGGGCGCCGAGGTAGACATCTCGAAATTTCAACGTACCCTGCTCCTTGACAATGATCCCGACACCGTGCACGAATCCGCGAAACCTGGGATTCCCGCTCCTCTGGTCGTTGATGAATTTCACTTTGACCGTTTCCATGGGCGTCACAGCGAAAATGGCCTCCATCACGCCCGCCCCCAGACCGCACAGCAGCCTGCCAGAAGGGCTCAAGGTGCCGTCTTCGCGGGCCATCTTGTTTTTGAACGCTTCGAACGAACCGAATCTGAAAATACGGGCGCGAAAAATATTGTATGCTCAAGAAATGCACATTTTTTCAAAAAGAAGATCTGAAATGGCTATTCAAATCATTCCAATTATTTTAATTTTCAAGAAACAGCAATTTAGAATTATTGATGAAGCAGACTATGACGTAAGTTTCTTGACTTATCTCCTTTTACACCGAAGTACTAAAAAATAACGATAAGAAGCTTCAGTAGGTGCGTATTTTTGGTTTCCCATTGGTGGCAGTAGTATTGACGAGCAATAAAACGATGTGATTCATTTTGAGAGTTGTGGCATTCAGCTGATATTTTTTAGCTTACATAATAATAATATAATTCCGGAATCTTGATGTTCATCCTTACATAATTATATTTATAATTTATTATGGATGTTGTTCCCGCTTTCTTGTTATCCTCCTTAGTAGGTGCATCGGTTTTAGAAGGCAACGAGGAAGGCAAAATACATTGATAGTTATTGATGAAACTGGCCCCTTAATACTTGAAAGGATTTTACATTTGTATGAGTCTTTTGATGTTACAGAAATAGTTGACTAAATTTATGTTAATACTTTCAGATATTCTAGTAATATTCGAATAATTCAAAATGGCAAATGAATTTATAAACATTCAAAAGTAATTTCAGGAGTCCAGAAGTGTTAGAAAGTATTCTGGGAAGAATTGCGAACAATTCCGAAATATTTCCTATGGCGAGTTCACTTTTAGACAATTTTTAAGTCAGCTTTCGAGGTTAGAGTATCTGAATTCTGAAATATCGCCATTTCTTACACTCCCTCCACAATCATCTTCGTTTCATTCCGTATGAGACGACGGAATGAAAAGTTGAAACCAGTTTCAGAGTTTCGTTCATTAAAACGACAAGAATTGTAATTCCGTTGAAAGAATCTTGCCAATAAAACGCACCTAATATATATGTATGTATAATCCAATTTCCACTCATACTATTTGTTTGAATACTTCATTTCAGGTATCATCGCTAACTATGATGTTAGAGCGAATTTAGCGGAATTATTAGATTCATCGATAAATCTTGTAACGTTGTACAGGCGTAAAACGGTTCGCATTTTTAGCTGTGCTTACATGGCTTTTCTAAATAGTACCAGTACGTCATGAAAATGGTGGAGGAGCCGAACTTATATCTTGACGATCTTTTTATGAACTCAAATTTGATCACACGAGAAGAATGAAAATTTGAATGTTGGAAATTTGCTCATTATTTGAGGGACCTTATGACTGCGCCAAGGCCAAATATAAACTGTTTTTAATCTTCCGGAAGCTGCTACAATGAACGATTATGATTCGAAATAAAATAAAGATCGTTTCATCTAATTGAAACTTAGCATCCCAGGAGTGTATTAAACTTTTATGTACAATAGGGATATTTACCTTACAGCACTTTTTGGTATGGATCCGTACAAGAGTACGCTAAGACCTCTGTACAAGCCGAGAAATCCATGGCTTTTCACAGTTTTCTTGACACAATCTACTATCCCAGTGTACTGTTTTTGACCACCCTTCTCATCTAGCTGTAACTGTGTTTTGACGTACTCAGTGGGAAATGTTATGCAGATTTCAATACCACCAGTGATCCCACCTGAATAATTATCAATCCAAATATATTTTGTTGGACCTCTTCCAAAGATAATATTTTGATGGGTCGACGCATAAAAATAAAAAGTATTTCACCTGCTATTATTCCTTTGACTCCGGTATTACCGGCAGCTGCTGCTGCAGCCCCATTGTCAGTCAACCATGGCCTTTTGAAGGGATGAATAAATTTTGGATTAGCTGGATTCATGTCTGTCCGCCTGCAACAACCTTCTTATTACGTTTTCTCGTGATTTTTACAGGACTTTTGAGAGTGATTTTTCAGGAAAATCATATGATCACCTCTACTTCTAGAAAAGGAGTAGGTACCTACCTAATTGTGTGAAACTTCACTTCAATGATACTGTTTAGGTGACATATAAATTTCGAGAATGATAATGGTAGAAGGTCGATAATAGTAGTGAAAGTATCAAAACTTACGTTTTTTCAAATGCTCTAGTGAAAGTAAGTACACGAATTAATGGTTTAGCAGTATTAATAGAGGATATGGAAGGTTAAAAAGTCACACTCGGTTCAGTTTCTAGAGGTGAAGGAATTGAGATTGCACAATTTCTTATCAGAGATAATCATAAACATGAAAATAAGGACTAGGTAGTACATAATAAACTTTTTATTTATTATTGTAGACACATACTCTTGAGTTGATAAAATAGATATAAAAGGACGATAAGGGTACTTGGTTGAAGGAAAAATATATAATATATATAATACTTATCTATTGAATCAGTGGGTGAATAAGTGACACTGATTTATTAATTTATTCATCCAACAAAGAGTTTATACATTCTCAAATGTATTTCAGTCATACGACCTATGACCAAATGAGTTTGATAAACATATTTCAAGATAATGATTTCTATGTTAAATGAAAAATACCTTGGGAATATTTCTAATGAACTGGTAGAAGAATTTCATAATGAATATTTATAAATTATGAAGCAAGGATTGAAAGTTCCTAACATTTCAATTTTCCCATTGATATTGTCATTTGTATTACTTAAATTCGAGATCATATGAAAAGTTATAGGGTAGGTATAATAGCAATTATAGGTACTCACCTAATAACTAACTTTATTGTTTTATTTCCAGTCTAATAAGAGAACCGACCTTTGCATTCCTAAGGATTTAAAAAGCGAGGTCGAGGCACATTTTACACAAAAATGATTGGGAATTGGAAATTGGAATATATACATAGGTAACGTTCATGAACTCAAAACGTCATCGTGAACGTGAATGTACACAACACATGAGAACATAGTGGATATGTTCCGTTAATCAACCGAGGTGACCGATGCTTTCAGGGCCGTTACCAACAATTTTGACAGCGGTTGCCTACTGGTGACTACGGTTGTGGTTTATTTACGAAATGCCAGTCAGTTGTCAAATTATAGGTTTGATCATTTTTTGAACATTCATGCTCTGCCAGTATTCAATTTTCAATAATGGCACCCAAAAGCCTCTAATTATTGTGCACAGTAAGCACAAGCATAGGATGTAGTGTCCTGAAATAGAAGAGAACGTCATCGAACTGAAAATATATCGAATATTATTAATTTACCTCAGTAAATGAATCCATCGGAACTTGACGCAGTAATTAGAATGAGAATATTGTTTTTCGTTGTAATTTGTGAATCGAAGAATCAAACCGAAAAGTGAACACGTCAACGTCAACTCAAACATACCGAACTCACCAGAGAAAATTCACGGTTGTTCTGGTGACAGTGAATCTACCGCTTTTTTAGCAACCGAGTTCCGTAAATAACCTTTTTTCAGGTACCAACCGAACAATACGTATTTACGGAACGGAAAGCTACTAACCGAAATAACCAAGTTGATTTACGGAACATACCCAATATGATAATGACAATAAAATGACGTCTTTGAAGGTTATAAAATCCGCAGTGACTCGTACACCTAAGCCCGGATTTATAAAAATATTTCAAACTGATATAGCTTCCTGTGGTTAAATCCGATGATGACAATGTGAAATTGCATGAATAAAAACTTCATCATGACCATCATGACTGTATTGAAGATACATTATGAGATGACAATTGATGACTACACAGTGATACACAAGAGTTTCGGTGGGTGTGGGTTTGAGGCTTTAGCCACTTACAAAGTTGTAATGCCGGCGTTGATAATACACTAACACAGACACTTTTTGCTTTTGACATTTGCTCCCTTTACCCGTTTTGTTAAAATAGTTAAAATATTAAAAAATGAGCGTAGTTCCAGAGAAAATAGATAACATAACAAATAAGTTTTTGTCCCATTCAGATTCTCAACCTATAACTCCAGATGATGTTTTGAAATTAACAAAAATTGCAGATACGTACTTGTGTGATCCTGATGCTAATATTTATGGCATCGATTTTACTAGGTTCAAACTGAGAGACCTAGAAAGTGGAGCTGTTCTTTTCGAGATAGCAAAACCAGTTTCAGAAAGTATCGAAGATTCCAATCAGAAAACAATTGAAAATGAGGAAACACTAGACCCCAATGCAGGAAGATTTGTGAGATATCAATTTACACCACATTTTCTGAAATTGGAAACTGTCGGAGCAACGTAAGTGAAAATCATTATTCATTAATAAAACGATAAGTAATCAATTTGATAGATCCACCACCAAAAAGTTAGCATAATATATTATACTAGCTGACCCAGCAAATGTGTTGCCATATGAATACATTAACTTATTTCTAGAAAATATTGTTTCAGTCAAATATTTATCAGCACACTTTCATTATTCAGTTTTCTACTTCTTTTCAGTTTGGCCTCGAGTTTGGCTATCCAGAAAAATGTGTTTCTTCAGTTTTTCAAACTACTTTTAATTTTCTACTTCCTTTAGTTTGACAATCAATCTCTTTATAGTTTTTGAAAATATACTATCTATTTTCTACTTCTATTTAGTTTGGCTTCGATAATTTTGATATCTATAAAAGCATGTTTTACTCACTTCCTGAATCTCGTGAATAGATATTCAAGCTATCATTTATTACAAAGCTCGTTCCCCATATTGGATCCGCCATCTTGAATTTCCTAATTTGGAAGAAAAAATCATATCTCCGACTCTGAAAACCCCCCAGATAAAATTTTTGAATATAATCAGATGATAATTACAGAACTCGTCCGCCATATTGGATCGGCCATCTTCAATTTACTAATTTTGTCGAAGGAGTCATAATCTCTGACATCAAATCTCCTGGATACCAATTTTGAATAGAAGCGGATCATAATCTTCGCCCCAAACACCCCTAGATACAAATGTTGAATTGAATCGGATCATAATTACAGAACTCGTTCGCCATATTGGATCCGCCATCTTTAATTTCCTAATTTTGACGGAAGAATCATAATCTTCGACCCCAAAACTCCCCAGACGAGTCCCCAGATACAAATTTTCAATGAAATCGGATCATAATTACAAAACTCGTTCGCCATCTTGAATTTTGACGCAGCAATCATAATCTCCGACCCCGAAAATCCCAGAAACCAATCTTGAATAGAAACTGATCATAATTACAAAACTCATCCGCCATATTGGATCCGCTGTCTTGAATTTCCTCATTTTGACGAAGGAATCATAATCTCCGACCCCGAAAACCCCCAGATGCCAATTTTGAATGAAATCGGATATCAAAAATTGCTATTACTTGGAAAATATGAGGGAATAATGTTTTTCCATGGAAAGTAGGTACCAAAAGTTTACTGTCTAAAATTTGAAATAAATAATAACAACGTACGCAGCGCCCACTAGATTTTACATGAAAATTTATAAGAAATTATGGTTTCTCACATCAAAACTCGCATCAAACAAACCCCTGCAAAAGTTATTTTCAAAAAGCGAACACACAAATTTAATTTCAACAACCTGTATCTCCGATACGAAGCATTTCCGGGCACAAGTATACATAGACTTGTTTCTTGAAATGTTCTCAGGAATACGTCACTTGACTATTTAAACTTACTTTTGTTACACCCTGTATAATAGATGAAAGAAAAGAGCCAACAATGCTAGGGTTGAGTTGATGAGTCACCAAATTCCAAAATACTTGATCACAAATAAAAATTGTAAGTGACGGGAACATTTGAGCAGCGTACATAATTTATTTATGTACGCTGATTTGAGGCATTCAGAATTTTTCATTTGATGACAAATGTTCAGTATCATAATGTGCAATTACCATTTGAAAATTCACTAGGGTTGAATTCACTGTTGGAAGCAGACCTGTGAACAACTTCAGGATGATCGAAAGACACTTCTTCCGAGACAAGCTACTAAAAACGTTCGATTTCGAATTTGGTTTTTGCATACCTTATTCAAGAAACACATGTGAACACATCTATGAGTTCCCTTCACTACCCACCGATCTTGGTAAGTCGAAAGATATTATTGATTATCAATGTTCCATTCTCATTCTTTCTTCATTTTCAGTCGACGAAATGATAGCGTGCCCTTTTGAGACCAGATCGGATTCATTTTACTTCGTTGACAACTGTCTTATAATGCACAATAAGGCTGACTATGCTTACAATGGCGGTATGGCCACGTAACCATAAAATAACAGGGTATCTGATTGCTTCTTCACTTTCAATGTTTCTCAAACATCATGCCCACATAGCTCAGCTAGAATTTAGATTATCAAGATATATATAAAATGAACTTCTTCAAGACTTCACTCTTTTTATCATTCAAATGAAGCTCAAAATCGTCAAGTTGGAAAAAGATTTACATGGCTTGTTGAGATTTTGCTAGTTGCTAACATGAATCTTGATAATTTGGTGTTTAGCAGGGCATTAATTGAACTTTCACCTATTATTTTGATCTTGGAGTGTTCAAATGCTATGATACACATTATTTACACAAGTGATTTGAGCACCATCACCTAAATATTATGCATTTTATGATGTTTCAATAATATGCTTGTATTGACTTGAGGAGTTTTCAGAACATTTTTGATAATCAAGATATAATTAAGAAGCTTTTGCCAGTACCTACCAAATATAGCATAATCAAAAATGATATACCTACTTAGTTGGAAAGCTAAAATAATAATAAAGAAATACATTCCCTTATTTATTGATCTAACTGTGATGTTTTTTTTTTGTATTTTTCGTATGAAGATATTAAATTATTTAAATGAGTATAAGTTCAATGATTACCTTAACTCAAGTATCCCAAGTTCCTATAAATTCTTTAAAAAACTACCTACTTGGCAAATAACTCTCGAAATTCACAAAACCCCAGATAAAACGGTAAATTAATGTGCATAGAGATGAATAATCTAAACTGATGGAGAACAATATAATAATAATAATATACCTTATCAATTTATTTTCCAGTAATACTCGGTACAACAATTACATCAGCAGATTAAATGTATAATCTCTGCCATCAGAGAACCTATAAACTATACTAGTCAACAATCATATTTGTAAATGAGCGGGTTCTACACACCAGTTGAATTTACTCCACATTTATATTTTATATTGATTATTCCATGTTTGTATCATTAGTATCTGATACTCGTTCATTCTTAGAAATCACAAATAATTTTTTTCTATCTCGGAAATATTCGCCTCTCGATGACGTGATATACCGAGAAGTACCAAAAGTGTCATATTTCTCAACAACCAACTCAAACATATATCCACATTCCACATAATAAAAATTCACGTGAAATGCCATTGATCACGGTATATGTCGTCACGAATTGTCCCACATTTGTCATGTCATGAAATATCTTAAATTTCAACAATTAATCAAAAATTTACAGTGCTCCGAGGAAAAATTGGTTTACGACAGTGAACTAGTTCGGGTTAGTATTTCAAAACGATATAAAATGTTTCACTGAGGTATGCCTATTATCTAATGATTATGCAATGGATATTGTTATTTAATAACCTGTATAATAGTGCCATTTCTTGACGCTAGAGGTCGCACCCTTATGAATTCCGCTAAACTAACCTCAAAGTTTTGTATCTTTCTATGCTCAAACAAAAAAAAAACAACACTGAACTTGAAGACATATTTATTCAATGCAGCAGACAATAGTGATTACAGATTCACTTGAAATTCTAATTAATCGAGAAATACAAAATACAAATATATATCAAATGACACTGGCTTAAAGTTATCGTCCGTTTTTTTCTCAAATCATTTTCGTTGTAGTCTTCATTGTCGAGATTAAACTAAAAAATAAAAACTACATTAATACAATCACCATAACCAATAACTGGCAATAACACACTTAAAAACTCTCAAAACAAATAACAAAAAGACATTCAAGACATAGAAAACCCCTTTTACCACCCTGGAGTAGTATTCGCCAGCCGCCTGATCCTTCTCGTGTTCCTGTCCTGGTCTCTAATCTTCTTCTCCATCTCGGCATCGGTCAGCGTCTCGAGGAATGGCGCCCATTGGTCAGACTCGCCGGGCGTCCTGAAGGGCACCTCCACGATGGGCAGCGGGGCTTCGCTGAAGGCGTACGTGCGCTGGTGCCACGACAGCTGGCCCCTGATCGAGTAGGCTATGGCGGTGACGAATTCGCCGCCCAGACCCAGTTCCGAGCATAGTTTGACGGCGAACTCTTCGGCGTTGTTTTGTTTTTCGCTCATGTCCCACTCCACCTTAACACCATATTCAATAATTAGGAAGGTTCCCTCGGACAAATTATCATAGAACTATATTATTCAACTACCTACCTATTGAGTTTCTGATGACTATATATGGCTATTCAAATTATTTTAATTTTCAGAATACAGCAATTTAGAATTAATAATTAAGCAGACTGACTGAAGAGTTTTTGATTCGGAGAGGGATATTTGTCTATGATGAGTTTCCTGACTTATTTCCTTCTCGCCTACGTACCCGAAAAAGAGAATAAGAAAGCTGTCAGTATGGTCTAACCTCAAACCATCAAGAATGTAAACAAAATACATCTCACTATGATGTAAATCAGGTTTAGAACCACTGTTGCCAGACTTGAGACACCAATGTCTTGGACAAATTAATAGTTATTTATACACCAACGTAGTAAAGAATATCATTAACACCCAGGGAACAAGATTTTATTCCGAGGCTTCAGATGAAAAAGGGCAACAATAACTCTAAGCATCCAAAATATTTCAATAATATTGAGAAGGAATATTCTCAGATATATTTATGAACACGAAAAAATTGATATATAAGTAGTATATACAGAGTGGGCCTTTGAAAACGAAACAGAGGCTCTGTAGGTCGCCAAAACCGGATTATGAAAAAAATCTGAAACACGTCAACTACATTTTCGAGGAGGACATCGTTCTAAAATATTTTCAGCCCTGCAGCGTTGCCGCTTCTAACGAAAAGAAGCAACAACTTTGTTATTTCAAATGGAACACCTTGTATTTCATTGCATTTTTAGATTCTCCCCGAAGAGCTGACTTTATTGATCTATCATACTCTGGGTCTATCGAGAAAGATTACAGAGATATAGGGTGTTCAAAATCGAGATTTTTCAACTTTAGAATTTTTTTGTGTCGAATCTATTCATTATCGGTCAAAACGGCTTTCATGTCCCTATCTCAACTTGTGATTTACTATCTACTGACATTTATTTGAAACAAATACAGGGTGGTTCAAGATTCAGTATTCTTATCCTACGCCACCTACTATATGTTCTTATTTGGAATGTATAATAGACAGTTGGGCCCCTAACTGTTGAAGGTAGCATAATCGCCAGCTCCATATTAATTCAGATTTTTTATAATTACAAATCTTACCAGTCATAACGTCATATAAAAGAACAATTTCAACCGATTTGACATCAATAGAAATTGGAAAGTTGATGGACTATAAAATACTAGTGGTAAAATAAATGTACCACTTCCACTTTCACTGATTTTTTGTTATGAAAAGAATTCAACCATTTAGGTCTTCAGGTTGTTTTTAAAAGAAATTCAGTAGTCGCGAATCGTTTTTTGCTAATGAAATGTTATAGATGGACCTCTCAAAACGTGAATTTCCTCTTAATATCACTCTTGATGAACACCATCAAAGCCTGGAGAAATGTTATTACCACTCAAACACCGTAGAAAATGAAATTTCTCCCATATAAGGATTGTATCAGAGAATCGGAAATCTATGAAACTGGCACCGAACCCATTAGGTTATGGTTATAAAAAAGAAGAAGTCAAGAAGAGGGTGATTAATTAAGGTGACTAAACTTAACATTATTTATTATCCACCAGATGTCTCTACTGATATGTGAGGTCAGAGTTGGTAGAACTGATATACTTCTTCTGTTTCTTTCATCTGGCCTCAAGATATCTTCTTCTTCAATGCAAGAATTGGTTGTAAAGTTCAGCATTGAGAGTAAGAAAACATAAGTGGGATCAAGTCTCTTGATAACTTGGTTTTTTATTTGTTAAAATATTCTTAAACATTTTTTCCAATATTTTCAATAAAGTAGGCCATAGCCTTTAGGGCTATCCAAACAAAATGTTCGGAATTTATACTTTGACACTGACCTCAAGTTTTAGTAGTGCTAACTGGTGAGAAAGAAAATGTTAGCCTTCCTTGAAACCTCCCATGTCTTGTCAGTTATGGTGGGTTGCTTACATTGAACATTTTCAAATTCAGCATTGATAAAATATAACATGGAATAAAAAGCTGTGAAACATATCTACCTGATCAACCAAAGATGTATTTCCAACATGAATATTCAGCTTGATTATGACTCTCTGGTCACAAGATTCTTCAATAATACTAGGAGTATCTGCTGGAAAAGCATCCAGTTGCTGTCGAATTGCCTGAGAAATGGCTGGTACAAATGTCACAGGATTCAAATCTAAATCATCACAAAGGACTTCAGCAAACTGTTCAGGAGATATCAGACTTTCTGCAAAACAATATCAACAGCATAACAATCATATTACAATGACTCAAAGTCATTATTTTACCATTTTTATTCCAGGTGAAAGTGTCTCTGAGTTTCTGCCCTTCAATTTCCATGTCCAGTCTTATGGGCACTAACACTTCTGATTGGCATCCATTTTCAATATTCAGTTGTGGATCTGTGTCATCAAAACACAAGGGAAAAGTCCTGACCTGTGAAAAAAATTCAAGGAACAAATAAAAGTTTAACACAAATAAATGCCCACCTTTTTGGCAGCAACTCTATTTCTGTTGATAGCAGTTGCTTGAGGAACAGCATCTAAATGACTGGAATTGGGCAATGATGGCACCCATTGCATGTTTTTCTTTGATTTCCCTTCTCTAGGTGCAGGTGGCTCAGAAGTATGAACAGAAACTGCTTTATATCTAAAAAATGATCAAAATAAACACTGAAAACTCAATGCAATTCAAAATATACTTACTTCTCATCATTACCCTCAATGATATCTTCTACTTCTGTAGTCCTAAGCAGTGACACACTACTAGCCAAAACATGTTGACTCAAGCCCAGTTCTATCAACCGTCTCCTTTCCTCATTGGTAATAGATCTCCTGAACATGCCAGGGTACTTTTTGTAAAGGGAACCTCTGAAGAGGCGAAGGTAATTTCCCACCTTGGCACCAAAAATGAATAAAATAATTCATTTATTCATGATAAGCGAATATATCGTATCATAAGAATGTGGAATGCTGTTGCTTAACATACTTATAACATAAACTCACCTCCGAACCAACACAGTAATATTCTCCATTTTCTTCCAGCTGAAAGCTTATAGGTTTATCACCATATGTTCTAAGCGACATTTCAATGAAAATATTCGATTATTTCACAATTAGTTTTCACAGATATCCAATTACAAACACTACAATAAAAAGCTTGATGTGTTTTTATCACATCAGCATCAAAAATATCAAGTAATCAAAATCAAGCATCAACAAATCAACATCAAAAATAGATTAGTGACTGATTCTTCTTCTTCTTATTTGTTTTTCTTGGTTTCTGACTCCTTGCGGTGCCAATTTGACTTGAGACATCGACGTTGACATTGACACAAGAATCAGCACGAGCGACATCCAATCAACGAGGTCATTGCTGTCATAAGTTTCAAAGCACGCTGTCAACTGTCAGTTTATCGCAAATTTGTAGGTTATTGTTATTTGTTTACATTTTACTTCCACATAAACCAACAGACGAGTTACATTTTCGGTTTTCCGAGTGTTTAGATCGCTATTCTATGGCCAATCCTAACACTGCTGGTCCTTTAGGGGGAACCAACACGGAAGACGATGAGCTAACCCTTCCAAGGGCCAGTATCAACAAGATGATCAAAGAATTGGTACCCTCTGTTAGGATAGCGAATGAAGCTAGAGAACTTATACTGAATTGCTGCACAGAATTCATTCACCTACTCAGTTCAGAAGCCAACGAAATATGCAACCAATTACACAAGAAGACCATCAATGCAGAACATGTTCTACTGGGTGAGTTCTATCACAATGACACTAGTGAAAGTATCTGAACATTATTGTATAAATAATGTCTGTAAGTTATTATTGTGCACTTGTGTGTTCTTAGCACTGAACAGGCTGGGTTTCTGTGACTATACGGCCGAAGCAGAAGCAGTGCTGAAAGACTGCAAAGCTGTGGCAGCTAAACGCAGGAGACAGAGCACAAGGCTGGAGAACCTAGGAATACCTGAGGAAGAATTGCTGAGGCAACAACAGGAGCTGTTTGCTAAGGCCAGACAGGAACAGGCTTTTGCTGATCAGCAGCAGTGGGAACAACTGCAGGCTGCAGCTCAGCAGGCTCAAATGTCCACACAGTCCAATGATGAAGATGAATACTCATAGAGTTAGTTCATTAGTTTTCTATAATTGATCATATTCAACTTGAAAAAGTTAGACATTTTGTGCTATTTGTTGGCTGCACTGTCAAATTGAGTGTCATTTGTTGAATGCATTGTCTTTTGTCAATGTCAGTTATAATAAGTTTGAAAAACAAAGAGATTGATAAAAGTTATTTCTTATCTCAAATTCTATAATTCAAAATTCAAGAAGTTTTTAATATCAAAGAAATACAATCATTTTAACAATGGCGCCGATTTTATTCTCATCTGACATTTGACAGCTTATATAGGTGCCAACTTCACAATATGAAATAGCTGACATGGCTGACCCTTGAAAATATGTATGGTTCATTCTTATTGTAAACAAGGTAACTATTGGAAACCTGTGGAAATTAAAATTTTCATCTGGCATGGAAATATGTGTCTTAACCATATACGTATTAATAATCAATACGGATAATCTCTATCTGTTTCCATAGCGAAACATGAAGCCGATTTTTTAAAACAAATGACTATCCATAAGGAAAAGTGAGATACGATCAGACACATAGTGCTTTGATTGAAAGGCTAGTAAACGTCATTGTCCACCGAAACGCATGTCTTTGATGACTACTATAATAGCGCATGGCGCATGCGTATCATGCCACCAAATCCTTATGGATATTCATTTGTTTCATATTTTTGGCTTCATCCTGGCACCCGTTATGATCCGTATTGTTTATTAATATGTATATGGTCTTAACCAAGGAAGACCACTGAATTTCAGTTTTGGCACTGTTACTATTGTTCAAGGATTATTATAGGACTACTTACCTCTCCCTCTATTGCTCTGAGCTACTTACCAAGCACTAGAGTGCCTCGAACATTTCAGACTGTGTGTGGACACACTTGTCGTGTTTCAAACAGCTGAACAAAAACACATGAGACACAAATATGTTTCATGAGAGATGGAATGTCATTTTTCTGTACCCTTTCATTAAACAAGTGCAGACACATTATTATTGGAAGCCCTAACATTGGATTGGCGTAACACCAAAGGCACATTGTGTAGTTATATCAATATTATCAATGAATATGTATTTCCATGAAATGAATATCGGAATTTGAAGCTTCAACGAAACACTTGAAATGTTGTCTCGTTTTTGGGAAACTCAAATAAATGTTAACCATATCATTCTTAGAATTATTGCTATTCGTTACCGAACAAGATATATTTGAAAACATTTTCGCGGGGACGCCTATTTCATTTTCAGAAGCGACGTTTCAAATTTGACGTGCCATCTTCCTCAATAATCCCAAAGGGTTGCGTGCAAGAACAGTAAGATGACCGACCCTGGAGGTGAAACATTGAAACACAACCTCACTTTTCTTATTTGTTTACAAATGATTGAAATAGTTATTCATATTATTTTGGCATACGAATCGTGTTTGTCAGCAATTCATTAATTTGCCGAAGGAATCCGGTTGGTACATTATGATTTAAAAGTGAACTTGTGAACCTCACGATAAAAACGTCTTCTAAATATCTTCTACTTCCAAAAAGTCTCGTTTTTCGTCAATCTAATTTAATTCTTTGACAATTGTCAACAGTCATTCCACGTAATTCCTTGTAGTGACGGAATGAAAAGTAGCAACCAGGAATCGGAAAAGTTGCAAATTAAACGACACTACGAAAGCGTAGAAGCGCCATATGATTTTATTTATTGACAGATACTAAGTGGTAAGTATAGCTTACTTGACAGATACTTGTGTCAACTAGCATAATTGACAGATACTAAGTAGGAACTAGTATACTTGACAGATACTTTAGTGTCAACTAGCATAATTGACATATACTAAGTGGTACCTAGCCTACTTGAACGATAAATAGTAAATATTTGATTACACAACAAATAATAACTTCAGTATTGAGACACATCTCAGTTGACACTTACGTATCTGTCAAGTATACTATTTACCACTTAGTATCTGTCAAGTAGGCTACTTAAAACTTAGTATCTGTCAATAAGGATAGTTGACAGTTCTATCTGTCAATTATGAAAAATATATCATATGGCGCTTCTAAGCTTTCGTTAGACGCAAATGTTTTTCGAATATTCTCGATGACGTTTACCTCATGTTTTAGTAGCGCCAACTGGTGGGACTGAAAATGTTAGCCCCCATTAGAGAAAATATTTGCATGCTTTCGTGCTTGCGAAATACGAAAAACTTCCGCAGTAGCCGAAAAATTAATGGCTTCTAAAAGAAGTAACTGAAATTAAAAAAACGTGTATCAGAAACCGAAAAAATATAAAGGATACGAATTTGTGTTACCTATAATATTATTATGATTTTCCTTCAATAATATTTCATGAAAGATGGTCAATATAGTTTTTTACATTGGAGAATGAATTGTTTTTTCTAATTAATCTCAAAAAGTGGATCATCAGGAAATCAATTGATACACATGACTGAAGACTGATCTTCTGTTAGCTGCTAGCCGAGTACAGCGGTAAACTTTTTAGTCATCTGTAATGAAAGTTAGTCGTTTCAATTATTGGAACTGTGATTAAAAATCTGAATCGTTCTTGTTCTTGTACGGATCATTATTTTCACACGTACCTACTTGCTCGTATCTTGCAGTAACTCACCTTGAAATTACTATACATAACATAAAAGTACCTATATCTTGGTGATGTATATATCGGGACGCTCGACTCAACCATTATTGAAAAAAATGATAACATAAATATATTGGAGTGGTATCGGCTTTTCGAAGTTTTCGCAATAACGCAAACAAACCAAACCGGAAAATCGCCCAAAACTTCCCGAATCCATTTTTTTTTTCACTTTTATCACAAAGTCCAAACTTTTTTTAGAGATAGCAGAGATAGCTTATTTCTGTCACCAAAAATGACGTTTTAGAATCGAAAAACAGCCTAAATAGGTCGAAAAAATAAAATTAAGCCGCTATCTCGACAGATACCGGAGACATTCTTGATTTGAGCGCATTGAGCAGTAGGTCCGATGACAAAATCCAAACTTTTTTCAAAGCAGAGATAGCTCATTTCTGACACCACCAATGACGTTTTTTGGCCGAAAAACTGCCTATTTAGGTCGCAAAAGTAATATAAAGTCGTTATCTCCACAGATACCGGAGATATTTTTTGATTTGACCACATTGAGCAGTAGGTCTGATGACAGAATCCAAACATTTTTCAGAGCAGAGATAGCTCATTTCTGATACTACCAATGATGTTTTTAGGTCGAAAAACTGCCTAATTAGGTCGCAAAAGTAAAATGAAGTCGCTATCTCGACAGATAGCAGAGATATCTTTTGATTTGAGCTCATTGAGCAGTAGGTCTGATAACAAGTTCCAAACTTTTTTCAGAGCAGAGAAAGCTCATTCTTGACTGCACTAATAATGTTTTTGGGTCAAAAAACTGCCTAATTAGGTCGCAAAAGTGAAATGAAATCGCGTCCTCGACAGATACCGGAGATATTTTTTGATTTGAGCACATTGAGCAGTATGTCTGATGACAGAATCCAAACTTTTTTCAGAGCAACGTGTTCATTTCTGACACCACCAATGGTGTTTTTTGGCCGAAACACTGCCTATTGATCGCATAAGTGAAATGAAGTCGCTATCTCGACAGATAGCAGAGATATCTTTTGATTTGAGCACATCGAGCAGTAGGTCCTATGACAAAATTCAAACTTTTTTCAGAGCAGAGATAGCTCATTTCTGACACCACCAATGACGTTTTTTTGCCGAAAAACTGCCTATTTAGGTCGCAAAAGTAAAATAAAGTCGTTATCTCCACAGATACCGGAGACACCGAACATAAACTCTGTTTATGTTCGGTGCCGGATATATTTCTTGATTTGAGCCTATTGAGCAGTAGGTCTGATGGCAGAATATAAACTTTTTTCAGAGTTCAGAGCAGAGATAGGTCATATTCCTGACATCAACAATAACGTTTTTTGGCCGAAAAACCGCCTAATAAGATCGCAAAAGTAAAATTAAGACGCTATCTCGACAGATACCGGAGATATTCTTGATTTGAGCACATTAAGCAGTAGGTCCGATGACAAAATCCAAACTTTTTTCAGAGCAGAAATAGCTAGTTTTTTGGCCGAAAAACTGCCTAGTTAGATCGCCAAACCAAAATGAAGTCGATATCTCTACAGATCGTGGTAATATTTTTTGATTTTGACAATTTGCACATAGGTCCGATAACAAAATCGCCATTTTACACAGTCAAGTAGGGTGATATTTCAACTAATCGGCCGTGGACCGAAATTGACTCATTATTGCGTGGACCTTGAGTGAAATTCCACTCAATTTTACCCAGTATATCTATTTTGTTCAGTAGGTACATTAATGTCTGCAACATACCAAAAATTCAACGATTTTCATCGACAGCATTTTCCCTATAGTTTAGTGCGGGGTCCTTTCTCATCAGAATTAGAAGAATTATTGTACGTAACTAGTAAGGAAACGCATATTTTGTAACTCTGTGTTCGTCAAACAAAATTACGAGTTTCCTAACAGGTTGCTTAACGTAAATATCTATTTGATCATTTTTGTTCTTATTTCTGTCTATATGGCTGCTTTATCTGAACAAGCAATCAAACGTAATAATAATAGTAACCCGGCTCGTGCTAGCAATAATTGGGAACGGTGATTGTCCATCCGTGTGTAAAACGGCTTCCTTTCCATCCTTTCGGATCATCTGAAGCGCAGATTGACTTTTTTTTGTCTATTTTTCACCGTAATGATTTCCGGACTGGCATCCGGAGTTCGATCGAAATTATTACGATTCCGATGTGTTTTTTTTCACTAGACGAATTACGTAACGCGTGGTCTCTCGAGTTGACCGAAATGCGTTCGGAATGCTGCTGGACCGCTTTTACTTTGCCCACAGTGTAGGCATTAATCTTTATGAGAAGGCCGTGAAAAGCAAGGAAATAACGGGTGTCGAGTGTCATTTTG